CGGTCCTGCGAGTCCAGGCCCTTCAAGTTCAAGTCATGCTAACCCTAGCCTTAGCTCTGATAGCTCTAGCTTTGTTAGTCCCAACCTTGTTAGCAGTCTTAGCCGATGTTTCTGTCCCTGATTGTCCTAGACTTGATAGTCCTAACCGTGATAATTTTGGCCTTGACAGTTCTAGTTCTGACACTCCAAGCCATGCTGCTTAAAACCATTTCCGAACCACTTTTTCTTGTTACAAACCTTATAACCGTCCTAAAACATAAAAACCATTTTAAACGCAACAACCTTGTACGCTTTGTTATAGGTAAATAGGGAACCGATACACCTAGGCTATAGATATATCGCGCAGTAATTTGTACCGCGGTAAGGGTTTGTGATTATGTAATTGCTTTTTGATGTTAAAAAGTTTGTTCCGAAGGTCAGAACAGGAGCTAGGGCGGGGGCTGTGTCGTAAAGTCTATCTATTCGGTTTAATCGGAGTTTAATAGAAAAAGGGTTAGACAGTCTTTGGTGGCATTAAACCGTGTTCAAGTTGGTAGTACAGTTTATAACAAAATTTACTTGTTATAAACATTAGCACAACAGAAGCATTTTTTAGTTTTTTAATTGAAAGAGCGTCTAAAAAGCCTAAAATTGAATTTTAAGCTCAAAGTTTACTTTAAAAGTCTTAAATGCTACATTTTTTATTTAGAATAGCATATTAAACTTAAATGTAAGCCTAAACTTCATTTTTAAGCTTAAACTTTATTTATAAGCTTAAAAGTTTACTTTTAAGCCTAAAACCCATTTTTTAAATTTAAAATTTCATTTTTAAGCCTATAATTTGTTTTTAAGAGCAAAATTTCACGTTTAAGCCTAAAATTTCATTTTTAAACCAAAAATTTTATTTCAAGCTTAACATTCATTTTTTAGCCTAAAATTTTATTTTTATGCTTAAAATTTTATTTTTAAGCCTAAAATTTCATTTTTAAACCAACAATTTTATTTCAAGCTTAACATTCATTTTTAAGCCTAAAATTTTATTTTTATGCTTAAAATTTTATTTTTAAGCCTAAAATTTCATTCTTAAGCCTAAAATTCATTTCTAAACTTACAATTTCATTTATAAGCAACGAACTCATCGTTAAGCCTAAAATTCCGTTATGAAGCCTAAATGTTGTTTCTAAATTAAAATTTTTTGTTTTACTTAACCAGCCGATAATATTAAGCATGACTCCAACCCTTCTTTTAACAACCAAAAACCCTACTTTACCTAAAGCTATATCAACACCCAATGCCTTTTTCTATGTTACGTGTGGCACAAGCTGCTGTTTAGGTATAACCGTAAATATTTGTAAACAACACCAGTAAAGGTATCCACCTTGAGGTAAAAACGCGTTGGTTGAGCAATCATCGGCATTCTAAACAGACCTGTGCCAGTGTTTTGACTTGTGGTTGTTGTAGCTGGTGTCAATGTCATTTCTGTTTTGTATGGGTGTGTTTTAATACCATATTTTGGGGATTTGTTGTTGTATTGGGAAAGAACGAACGACGTATTTTACACAGATTAAAAATGATTTTTAGGCTTAAATATATAATTTAGGTTGACAAAATAAATTTTAAGCTTTAATAAAGAGTTTTAAGTTTAGAACTAATTTTTGGTTTAAAACTAGATTTTAGGCTTAACAAGAAAATTATAAGCTTAAAAACCAATTTTAGACTTAAAGATAACTTTTAGGCTTAAAAATGAATTTTATGGTTAAAAGTTGAATTTTAGGCTTAAAAATGGAGTTTAAGCTTAAAAATGAATTTTAGGCTTAAAAGTGACTTTTAGGCTTAAAAAATAAATTTTTACTCTTAAAAATGGCTTTTTAGGCTTAAAAATGAAGTTCAGAGCTTGAAAATGAATTTTAGGCTTAAAAAATGTATTTTAGGCTTAAAAATGTACTTTAGTCTTAAAAATGAACCTTAGGCTTAAAACTGAACTTTAAACTTAAAAAGGAATTTTAGATTTAAAAATGACTATTAGGCTTAAAAACAAATTTAACATATTTCGAAAAACCTATATTATTATTGTCTTGCGGTGAGAACATAGAGAATAGACCCGAAGACAAGAGACACTTTCGGTCCACCCCTACCACGAAAAACAGCCATTTGGCTGCGGCCCCCCATCCTTTTTTTCTCGCCAGCCTGTTAAGTCACGCCCCCCTTTTGCAGTCCGCCATTGTGCCAATAGTTTTTGATATATGGATAGATTGCGGGAGTGTCATGTCATGTTTAATATAACAATCTGTAGTCAATCAAAACGTGCGAAGAATTGATGGACATCAGGGTGCGGGTGGAGAGACCGCCAGAGGGCTAGGAATAAACAATAAACTTGACGAAAATGGTGACAAATTGCGTTTTTACCGCGAAATTACGAGGAATTTGAATATTTTTTGGGGAATGGGAGGTGGGAATTGTATCTCAGTTTTTCGTGGCCACTGAGGTTCTGATTTTTAGACTCATCTTGAATGTAAGCCTAAGAATTTGGTTTAGATAGGGTACAACCGGTAAAGGTAGAAGAAGAGGTAGGGGAGGATGGATGGAAAGAAAGGAAAGGAAGGGTAGGACAAAGAAGAGAAGAGGGAAAATGAAAAGATAACAGGGGTATAATTTTTTGAAAGAAGAGTGTTTTTTTTTTTTTTTTACTTTAAGCTTAATAATGAATTTCAGGCTTAAAGATGAACTTTAGGCTTAAAAAATCAACTTTAGGCTTAAAAATGAAATTTTAGGCTTAAAAATGGATTTTAAGCTTAAAAATGAAATCTTAGGCTTAAAAATTAAATTTTAGGCTTAAAAATAAATTTTAGGCTTGAAAGTTAAATTTTAGGTTTAAAAACGAATTTTAAGTATAAAGGTTATTTTTAAGCCTAGAATCCACTTTTTAAACCAAAAAATGTTTTTTTTAAATTTTAGTGCTTAAAATTTTAATTACGATTTTATAGCCTAAAATTTATTTATTAAAATGTTATAAATATAAAATTGTTTTGAGCTGAAAACGAATTTTTAAGTTAGTTCTTTAGTCTAAATGTTATTTTTTAAGCCTAAGGTTCAGTTGTAAGCATCAACTTTAATTTTGAGCCTACAGTCAAATTCTTGTATATCAAATTGTTTGGGGATTTGAAATTTGTTTGTTATAAAAGTGTTTTTGTTATACAAGGGTTTTAAATGCACTGTGTACCATTGTCAGAAGATTTGAACGTTGTTCGTGGTACGTTAGGTCTGTTATCCAGGAGTTTCTACTGTATTTTTCAACTGCTTTTTTCACTTCTCTCAACTACAATTTTACAATCCAATACAAAAAATAAAGTTATATTGTTTTTTTCTCCTTCACAGTAACAAAAAATTGTGACCAATTTTCTTCGGCGTTCGGCTATTTTGAGTTGTTCTGATAACGCTACTGATAAGAATCTAAAGTTGTAAAAATGGGGTGTAAATGTTACTTTTAACAAATTAACCACTTACATTATTTTACGGGGGTCGATATTGAAATATTTTTTTTTTATTTTGCATCAGTGTATCATAGTATTTTATAGTATGTGTTCATAGTATTTTACATTTTTAGTGAAATTGTTTTGTTTTGAATTAATTTGTATGATTTTGGGGTTTCAGCTGTAAAAACTGTATATTTTAATTTTTTAAAATTAAATTTTAGAAATAAAAAATTAATAGTACGCTTGAAAGTGAATTTCGAACTTAAAAGTAGTGTTTTAGGCTTAAAAATGAATTTTAGGCTTCAAACTGGTTTTTAGGCTTAAAAATAAATTTTAGTCTTAAAAATGAATTTTAGGCTTAAAAATAAATTGTAAGCTTCAAAGTGAAATTTTAGGCGTGAAAATGATCTTTAGACTTAAAAATTCAATTTTAGGTTTAAAAAATGATTTTAAAGCTTAAAATGGAATTTTAGGCTTTAAAATGGAGCTTTAGGCTTAAAATAGAATTTTAGGCTTCGAAATGAAATTTTAGGCTTGAAAAGAAATTTTAAGCTTAATATTGAATTTTAGACTTAAAACTGAATTTTAAGCAGACAGCAAATTTTAGGCAAAAAATTAACTTTTAAACTTTAAAAAGAAATTTTAGGCTTAAAGTCTTATGTTGATGTGAAAAAAGCTAGTTTTAACTTGTGTTTTATTTTGCTGAATTGCGCAGCTGGAAAACTGCAAAAAATCTGAAAAAAACTAGAAATAAATATAAATCAGTCGTTATTTTTTGTCACAAATGTTGCTTTCAGACAATTTTTTATGATTATTATTATTGTTTATATGTAGTAGCTGCCGTATTTTACTATATTTTGATTATATTCTTTATCCGTATTTTACATTTAAATGTATTTTTTTAATCATTTTTTATTTCAAGCCGGGTTTTTTTTACTTTTAGAAAAAATATGGCTGGGGTGGAAAGAAAAAAGGGTATGATTAAGATTAGACTGGAGAAAGGCTAGGGTAGGGTTAGGATAGGACGGGTAGAGCTGCTAGCGTAGGCCTATATTATGGTGAGGATAGGGATATAGAGCTAAAGACTGTGGTATAGTTAATGAGAAGTCAGAGTCAGCCCAAGGTAAGATGAGGGTAAAACAAGGTTGAACTTGGCTAAAGTAAGGCTAGGGTTGGGTCTGAGCAGGGTTATGGTAACACTAGGATTCACCTACTGTAGAGATAAACATTGTTGGCCAAATATTTGAAAACGTGTTGTGTAGTCGTGTTTTTATTACGTTTTGAAATTTTTTTGCGTCAAAATTATAAAATTTTTTATTTTCAGGTCATCTTCGACGTTATCAAACAAAACAAAACTTATTTTTATTTATACAGTTACATCTTCAACTCTCAGCAATAATATTATTTGTACCTTCTCATCTACTTATACTAAAATTTTTATTTTGAAGTTATCTACTCCTATTTGAAGCTACCCATCTTCATTTTTAAACTGAATTCTGGCCAAGACAGTCAATAACTTTCAAAGTTAACCCTGCCATTTCGTTTTAAATGGATCCGTCTTCTGAATACTGGAAAACGTTGGGTCAGATCCCAACCACAACGACAGGAATGCCATTTGAGTATGGTTGGCCTGGAACGACCATGCTGAATTGTTTTCCACCGACCAGTCAAGGCTTGATGAATCCATTGGAGCCACAGCTGACTTCTCTAGATGGTCCTACGGTTAAGGACGAGATCAAACATGAGGTTGGTTTGGAATTTAAAAATTTTGAAAAATTTGATTTTTTTAAAAATTTTATTAATTTTGTAGGTGACTTTTATTCCTGGAGGCTGTTCTTAAAATTTTTTTGTAAAATACGAGTTGATGAGCTAATACATTTTTTAATGTTAAAATCGAAACAACCGGTCGAAAAGTTCTTAGAAAAGATTGTTTTTGAGTTTTTCTGTTCATTTAAAGGAAGTTCTTGCCATTTTATGCCTGGTAAAGAAAGTCATTGGCATTTGTTGTTCTGTACAGAAATTTCTTGCCATTTCTCATTTTATAAAGAAAGTTCTTGCCATTTATCAGTTTGTAAAGAAAGTTCTTGCAATTGCTTGTTCTATAAAGAAAGTTCTTGCCATTTTTTGTTCTGTAAAGAAAGTTCTTGCCATTTCTCAATATGTAAAGAAAGTTCTTGCCATTTTTCATTTTTTAAAGAAAGTTTTTGCCATTTTACGTTATAAATCCATAACTGTTTTTGCTTTTCATAAAACCTTTCTCAGCCGTCTCCACTAGCTCCACAATCTCTCTTCCTCTGACCTTTTGCCTTATTGTACGCATGGTTATTATACCATCGATTCGAATCCAATAAGCGCTTCCAAAACGCGCCGCAGCGCAATGTAACCAACCGTAATAATTTTAATGGATTAGCAAAGATTAAAATTAACAGCAGGGGAGGGGAGGGGGAGGGGAAGGGGGTTAGAAAAGGGTAGGGGAAAGAAGAGGAGGAGTGATGTGAAGTAAGGGGAGGACAGGAGAATTTTAAAAAAGAAAAAGCATTTTTAAATGTTTGATAAGCCTAAAATTCATGTTTAAGCCTAAAGTTTAGTTCTAAGCCTAAAAACAATTCTTAAGCGTAAAATTTTATTTTTAAGCCTAAACATCATTTTTAAGCCTAAAATTTAATTTTCAAGCCTAAATATACTTCTTAAGCTTTACTGTCTTCTCTAAGCCCAAAACTTTCCGACCACCTGTTTAATTGCATTTCCCTAATCGGAGTCGATCTGTATCGCTCATTAAGGCCATTAAGCCTATTGTCATCTTAATCTGGGCTCGCTTTAAGCGCTGTGGGGTCAAAAAGCGTGGCGCTCGCATGGCTATTATTAATGAACAGTTGCAGATGATCGGGCTATGAAAACTGTTGCATCAGAGAAGGTAGATCTTCCGTTTTTAGTGGTTTAGCTCAAAATTGAGATTTAGGTATAAAAATTGAGTTTTAGGTTTAATAATGAAGTTTTAAGTTTAAAAATGAAGTATTAGGTTTAAAAATGAATTTTAGGCTTAAAAATAAATTTTAGGCTTAAAAATGACTTTTAGGCTTAAAAATGAAGTTTAAGCTTAAAAATGAATTTTAGGCTTAAAAATGAATTTTAGGCTTCAAAATAACTTTTAAGCTTATCATTAGATTATAGGTTTAAAAACTAAATTTTGAGCTAGTCTGAGCCTAACTGTGCTTCTGGGCCTGGCCGAGCCTAGTGGATCGCGTTTTTAAGTCTATGTTCCAAGCCTAGGCCCGCTTTTTTCTTAATATCCGAAAGAGCAGCAGAAATGTCATCAATCACCGTCGGCCCCGTGCCGGCCATTAATCTTTTTCCAGGGATTCGACCAATATTAAGGGGGGCAAAAAGCGAATTGTGGGCAAAAGGATAATGAACAAAAGCCACCACCGAAACAAGAAAATTTGACGTCAGAAAGAGGGTTTTGAGGATAGGAAAATGACTGTTTTTTAGGAGTTTTAGGCTTAAAAGTGGGAAGTGCAAACTTTATTTTAAGTGAAAGATAAATAATATGATTAATCTTTTAATTTTAAGCCTAAAATCTAGTTATAAAACATGAAAATCATTTCTATGCTTGAAATGCATTTCTTTAAGCCTAACATTCTTTTTCAAACCTGCAAGTTAATTTTTAAGCCTAAATTTCTTTTTTAGCTTAAAATCCATTTTTATGCCTCATGTTCACTTCTTAAGCCTAAAACTCATTTTAAACCTAAAATTTATTTTTAAGCCTAAAACACATTTTTAAATGTAAATTTGCATACGATAAGCCATACATTTTCTAATTACATAAGTATGGCCAAACGATTGCGCATTAAATACCGTCTGTTTATGAAAAATGACAGGTCGTATGGCCATTTGATGAAAAAAGTGTCATATAGCTAGGTATTAACAATAAGTATACAAATACGAGAAGACACAGCGTATTTTACCCTTATAACAGCGAAGAAAAGCCAAAATTTTATTTTTAGGCTTAAAATTCATTTGAAAGCCTAGAATTTGTTTTTAAGCCTAAAATATGATATTTGAGCTTAAACGTTCATTTTAAGTCTAAAATTCATTTTTAAGCCACAAGTTTATTTTTAAGCCTAAAATTCAGTTTTAAGTCTAACAATGCATTTTTAAGCTAAAAGTTTATATTTAAGCCTAAAATTCAGTTTAAGTCTAAAAATTCATTTTTTAGCCTAAAATATAATTTTTAAGCCTAAAATTCATTTTTAAGCCTACAATCATTTTTAAGCCTAAAGTTCATTCATTAACCTCAAAGTTTATTTTTAAGCCTAAAATTCGTTTTTAAGCCTAAAATTCGTTTTTAAGCCTAAAATTCATGTTTAAGCCTAACGTTCATTCATTAACCTCAAAGTTTATTTTTAAGCTTAAAATTCGTTTTTGAGCCTAAAATTCATGTTTAAGCCTAACGTTCATTCATTAACCTCAAAGTTTATTTTCAAGCCTAAAAACATGACTTCACTTTTTCACTGCCAAAAAACCGCTAAAACAGCACTAAACTCAAAAAAGCCAAAGCCAGTAAACGCACCCTACTAAACATTCGAAAAGAAACGGCAAAAGATGGCCGTTTGCCTTCTTAATAGACAAACTTGACGTAAAAGGTCGTATCAATTTCTCATGTGCCGAAAATGTTTTTTTTACCTAAAAACTCTTTTTTATAAAAAAAGAATTAGGGTAGATTTTAACGCATTAAACCGCGATGACAACAGCAAAAAAAATTCAATGTTGCTTAATTAGGGTACTGTAGGTAGGGGTTGGGGAAGGAGATGTATCATATGGGTAGAGATAGGAGTTGAAAATGAATTGTAAGCTTGAACATGGAATTGTAGGCTTATAAATGAATTTTTGGCTTAAAAATGAAATTTTAGGCTTAAAAGTGAAATTTTAGGCTTAAGAAAGAAGTTCAAGATGAAAAAAAAATTAGGTTTGATAATGAAATTTTAAGCTTAAAAATGAAATTTTAGGCTTAAAAATAAAATTTTAGGCTTAAAAATAAATGTTAGGCTTAAAAATGAAGTTTAGGCCTAAAAATCAATTTAGGCTTAAAAATCAATTTTAGGCTTAAAAATGAAATTTAGGGCTAAAAATCAATTTAGGCTTAAAAACAGTAATAACCACTATTCTTTTTCCTTCCCCTTTTTCCTTTTCTTTAAGGACACCGTGATAATCTTCTCTTCATTGCTCTATAAAACACACTGTTGATACCTGATATTTTTCCACCAAGCTCTGTTAACTTTATTGTTTTCTAGCCTCTAGCTGTCTCTCCTTAACAGTAGTGTAAATAAATAATCATATTTTTCAAGCAGCGTATGATAATTGGGCGGGTGTGAGCGGCGCACATTTTGAAGTTTTTCTTTATTTCTTCAAAAAATATATACTCACTCTTCCTTGTATAACAAACTCTACTATAGCAAAAGTTTTGTATAACCAGCAGCTTTTAAATCTTCAGCCAACACTACACCGTGCGTCTCAAACTCCTGTATAACAAAATTGCTTAATAACGGACAAACTAGTGATTCTTTGTCTCTGTGATCTTTTAGTCCTTCGTTATACAAGAGCTCTATTGCTTATGTATATTAGGTTGAACCAAACGTAGCGGGACAGTTTTCATTTATTTTTCAACTGAAAGATGTTCCATTACTTTTGGTTCAACATAATACAAAAAAACATACATATAAACAGCCATAGGGTAAAAAAAATATACACATGTATAATATAACCAGTATGCAAAAAAAAACAAACTGACATTCATAGAGGCTATGTGCAAACACACATACTCACAATGCTCATAACCATAGCAATATGAAAAAATTGCACGTACATAGAAGCAATGTGCAAAAACCCGCACATACCTAGCCGCTATATACCAAAAAACACCCACATACACACACCCATGAAGGCACAGTGCGAAACACACACACCACTGTGCGCCCGACCAACGGCTGCACGCTGGACTCGGTCTTCATGACTTTGTAATCGCTGCAATCCATCTTTCAGCCCGCCTTGTGTCTCGCCAGCCGCCTCGCCGCGTTTGGTCGCCACCCGAAAAAATTTTTGCTGGGGGCTTTTTTCCCTTCTCCGACCAATCTTCTTAAATCTTCTTCGAGACGTCCGCTTTTTTGATATGTTTTGTTTCAATCAATGAATATGTATTTATTACATGACATATACATCATTGGTTCGTCAGCTTTTGATGAAAGTCGGACTACCACCGGATGATTTATGTTGTGTTGTGGTAATATGAATGATAGTAACAGGACCGAGGTGTTGGGATGATATAGAAGGTAGTAGGTGGTTATGAAGTGTTGTGATGATATAGGGCATAGTGGTAGGGTTAGAAGAGTATAATAGTATAGGGCATAGTAAGAAAGGTTAGCGTAGTAGAACATCATAGGGTATTGTAGTGAGTTTGTAAGCGTTATGATGATATAAAGGAGAGTAAGTGGATACAGAGAGTTGGAAGGTTATATACGTTAGTAACTGCTTACAGAGTGTTTTGATGATATAAAGAATAGTAGCAAGGTTAGTGTAGTAGAACATTATAGATCATAGCAATAGGTTTGAAAGTGTTATGATGTTATAAAGTGTAGTAAATAGTTACTGAGTGTTGTGATGATAAAGGTCATAGTAATAGGGTTAGAAGAGTATAATAATGGGTAAGGTAGGGTAGGGTGAAATAAGTTAAGGGAGATTAGGTTACTGACTCCCTATCATAACCAGTTCACTCCCCTCCCTTCACCCTCTTCTTCACCCCTTCCCCACTTCCTCCCCCCCCCCTCTTTTTCCTCCTTTACCCACCGTTCTTCTAAGCCTAGCCAAGTTTTTTTATAACGTGCCCTCTTTTCCTAAAAGCAGGTTTTAAAAATTTTTTTGTCATTAGAGCAAGGGATATTTTTTTTAACAAAAGATAATCATAAGTATTTTTGAAAGCCTTGTAAAAACTAATGAAGAATGAGTGATTATGACACATTAGCCTGCTCTTTTGCCTAGTTTATCAAAAAAACTTTTTTGCTAAACTTTTTATGAGTTTTAACTAGTTTTATAACTAATTCAGTAATTTATGTCATTTTTAAAATTTCCTTGACTAGACTTTAAATTAGGCCCACTAAAACAGGCTTGACTCCAGTCCGGCTTAGCTCGACGCCATCTCGGCTCAGCTCGAGTACGAGACAAATTTAAAATAAATCGTGCCGAAAATTTGTGTTCTCGCCTTTTTACAAATCTAGCGCTGACTCTTCTGTATTTTACAAAAAGTTTTAAAAAATGTTTTTCAAACCATGCTTTTTGGACACATTTCTCTAGGGGTTAACAAGACGATTGTCGTTATGACAAAGGACCGTTCTCAAATGACAAATGTTAAAAAGGGGTAAAAATATGGTTTTTAATTGAACATTTTTAAGCCTAAATTTCATTTTTAAGCCAAAATTTCTTTTTTAAGCCTAAAGTTCTGTAAATACATATCAAATTGTCAGTTTAAGCCTAAAATTAATTTTTTTGCCTAAAATTTGTGTTTAAGCCTAAAGGTTATTTTTTGAACTAAATATTTTATTATTAAGCCTAAACTTTCATTTTTAAGCCTAAAGTTTTACTTTTAAGCCTAAAATTTATTTTTAAGCCTAAAGTTTCACTTTTAAGCGTAAAATTCATTTTTAAGTCTAAAATCCATTCTTAAGCCTAAAATTTTACTTTTAAGCCTAACGTTTGCATTTTAAAATTTTAAACAAGCAAAAGCCTTTCAAGTGTCATCAAAAACAACACCCGGCTACTGTTCACTTCATGTTCATCTTATCGTTTTATCTCTTCACCCAAAACCATGCGTTTTTTGTTCGTTTGAAGTCGAATCTTCTCTCTCTCCAGCCTTTTTCCGAAACCTCATCGTCTCTTTGCCTCTGGGTTTCGTTCCGTTTTTTGCGCTCCCCCCCTTATCTCATTCGACTTCTCTCATTGGTTCGAATGCTTTTTTGGGGCGAAAGATTTATGGTTTCCTTCGTTTTTTCGCGAAAATTCAAATTTTTAAGAAATTGCTTCTATAATTTGTGCTGGATTTTGTTTTTTTTAATTTTTTTTAAATTTGGACTGAATTTCAAATTGTTTTTAAATTTTTAACCGAGTTTAATTTTTTTTGATTTTTCATTAAATTTTGATTTTTTTTAAAAATTTTTGATCAGTAAATTAATTTTTTTAAATTTTTTTTCTATTTTTCAATTTTTTTTGATTGCAATGTAATTTTAAGCTTATTAGGCTTAAAAATTATATTTTAAACATAAACATGAAGTTTAACTTAAAGAAATAAAAATTAGGCTTAAAATCAATTTTAGACTTAAAAATGAATTTAGGCTTAAAAGTAGATTTTAATCTTAAAAATTAAATTTTTGGCTTAAAAATAAATCTTAGGCTTAGAAAAGGACTTTTAGGTTTGAAAATGGTATTTTTGGCTTAAAAATGAATTTTAGGCTTAAACAGTAAATTATAGTCTTAAAAATAAATTTTAGGCATAAAAAGGTATTTTTAAACACAAGTTTGGGTTTTTAGGTTTAAAGATAAATTTTAAATTTAAAACTGAATTTCAAGCTTAAATTTGAAATTTTAGGCGTAAAATAATTTTTTAATTTTATTTTTAAATTTGTAAAATACGAAAAGTCTTCGTCCAATTTTATAAGTCTGTATTTTTTTTAATACGCGGTTACCTTGCTATTGTAAAACGACAATATCGCGTGTTTTTGATATGTTATGATAGAGTAAAATACGTCCATTGTTTTTTTTGGATTTTAGAATCTTTTAAAATCTCCATCGGAATACTCACCTAAAAATAGCTTCAGCTTGAATTCGGGTTCAATGTCCCAGCAGGTAATGATGTCTGTTTTCTTGTAGTGATACTCCTGTGTAACGAACGTCTTTACAGTGTAACTTTTGTATAACAAATCGTTCGGAAATTCTGAATCTAGTTGATATTTAAAAACTGCTCGTTATACAGGACGTCATTCTTTTTTGAACCTTTTTGACCATTTTTAAAACTTCTTTGTCAAAAACCTTCAAGCCTAATCAATAACAACGTCAATTCTCGTTCTTTATATAAAATATGCCCACAAAATAAAAAATTTGAACCAAATGTTAAACATCTAGACCACTTGGTTAAAAATGAAAAAAAAGCTCATTAGACCGCAATCTCAAAACGTTTTTTTAATTCGAAAAATCATTTGAAATGATTAGAAAAATCGTTTGAAATCGATTAAAGCTTCTGTTTTTAATGCTCAAGGCTATTAAAAACAAATGTTTTTGGGAGTTTTAGAGGTTTTTGAAAAGATTTATATAGGGCGTGGGCAAATTTTAAGAAATTTTGAATTTTTTTGAAATTTTTTGAAAATTTTTGAAATTTAAAAAAAAATAAAAATTTTTAAAAATTGAAATTTTTTTAAAAAAATGTTGAGTTTGGGCCCCCCTTTTTGAAAAAAAAGCGTAAAAAATTTTAGAAATTTTAAATTTTAAAATTTTAAAAAATAAAAAAAAATTTTTCAATTTTAATTTAAATTTCAAACTCCCTAATACCTTTAAAAAACCTTCAGTAGTAATAAAAATAAAAAAAAATCTCACTTGTTCATAAAAATGTCGTAAAACGCTCGAGAACGCATTAAAACCCAAGAGTTTTGTTGTAATAGCGTTGCGCAACACTCGTAAAGTTTGCCAAGGCTATTCGGTCGAAAAAACTTTTTTACAATTTGGTAAGGGGTTTTGGCGCCAGTGTTCGAAAAAACGCGCGTTCCGTTTTTATAGGCTATAAAATTAGGGAAAAGAGGTATAGTAAGATGGTAGGAATGGGGTTATGGTAGGGGGTACAGTAAGAGTAGAGTAGGGTAAGGATACTATTAAGGGAGGAAAGAGCGGGGGTACTTTAAGGGCAGGTCACGGTAAACTAAAGCAGAGTAGGGTAGGGGTACTGTAAAGGTGGGTAGTATGAGGATACTATTAAGGTAGGAGAGAGGGGGGGGTACTGTAAGAGTAGGGAAGGGTATGACGACTTTAAGGGTAGCGTAGGTGAACTGTAAGGGCATAGGCATTTTATGAGAAGGTAAGGTAACATAGAGTACTGTATGTGCAGGGTAGGATAAAGCAAGGTAGGGGTACTGTAAGAGTAAGGCATAAAAGGGTAGGGTAGAACAGGGTAAGTTAGGGTAAAGTAGGGTAGGTTAGGGTAGGGTAGGGTAGGGTAGGGTAGGGTAGGGTATGGTAGGGTAGGGTAGGGTAGGGTAAGGTACAAAAATTTTGAAAGAATCAAAAACCTAAAGGAAAAAATTTGGCCAATGATTTAATGGCTTCAAAAGCCTCAAAAGCAATTAGAGTCTGAGAGTAATTAGGCTGCGATTTTGAGAGGCATCAAATTTTAATTTTATAACTGGAAAATTGCGCTCCGCACTTAACCCTGCTTAGGACAAAACGTTAAAATGAAAAATGGTTTCTAGCTCTAGCTCTAGCTCTAGCTCTAGCTCGCTCTAGCTCTAGCTCTGGCTCTGGCTCTAGCCTTGGCCGCATTATTAAAGCCCTAAAAAAGTTTTGTAGTTTATTAACGTGAAAACTATAATAAAATGACGACAAGACTTTTTTAAAATGATTTTTTTTTCTAGAACTGCCTCAAAAGTACCAAGTATTAAAAGCAGCCTAAAATACAAAAAAAAATCAAAAAAACCACTGTCTAAACAAAAAAATTTCAAAAAACACCCCCTTCTCAAAAACTAAAGAACACCTCTCAAACAAACTTAAAATTACTTCAAAATTCATTTAATTCGCCTAATGCCATTCCTTTTTGCAGTATGGCGACAATTACGGCGCCACATCGGAAATGTATGCGGCCGGAGCGTCGGCCGTAGCCGGCGACCACACCCAGAATCCTTCGACGGCCGACTCGCTCAACTTTTACACGCCCAACTTGTCCGACCCGTACGAGCTGGGCATGGGCACGTTGGGGCTGTTGGCTGGTGGAGCCAGCGTGCCGGTGGATGATGAAGAGTTGAAACGACAAAAGGACAAAATTAGGGCGTAAGTTTTTTTTAAGTTTTGTTGGGTTTAGGCTTATAAAAGAGGTTAGGCTTAAAAATGTAATTTAGGGTTAACAATGAATCTTAGACTTAAAAATGAAATTTAGGCTTAAAAATGAATTTTAGGAGTAAAAATGAATTTTAGGGTTAAAAATGAGTTTTAAGCTTAAAACTGAATTTTAGGGTTAAAAACTGAATTTTAGGTTTAGAAATGAATTTAAGGCTTAAAAATGAGATTTTAGGCTAAAAAATTAAATCTTAGGTTAAAATAAAATTTTAGGTTTAAAAAGTTAATTTAAGGCTTAAACAATGTACTGTAGGCCTAAAAATGCTTTTTAAGCTTAAAAGGTGATTTTTAGGCTTAAAAATGAAATGTTAGGCTAAAAATGAAATTTTATGTTTAAAAAGTTAATTTAAGGCTTAAACAATGAACTTTAGGCTTAAAAAATAACGGTTAGGCTTAAACAATGTACTGTAGGCCTAAAAATGCTTTTTAAGCTTAAAAGATGATTTTTAGGCTTAAAAATAAAGTTTGGGCTTAAGTTTTACTGACTCCTAATTTTCACGAAAAATTTAATATTTTATATTTCAGACACCCCCTATACCCATTTCTAACTGTTCTGTTCGAACGCTGCGAACTAGCTACCTCAACCCCACGCGACTTCAGCAAGGACCCCCAAAGTCGGAGCGAGAGCGCGGCCGACGCCTTCAAAGACGATCTGATGTCGTTCATCGAGACCCGCAAACATGAAGAGCCAATCTATTACGCACCCAACCCCGAACTCGACAAACTCATGCTCAACGCCATTCAAGTGCTCAGGCTGCACTTGCTCGAGCTGGAAAAGGTCGGTTTTAAAGAAGGGTTTTTATTTGGAAGGGGTAGACTTTCATAGAGAGTAAACTGTGCTAGGCTGGGGCTAGAGAGCTATCTCTCAGTTCTGGGCAGGGGTGGCTTATAAAAAGAGTTCTCCAGCTAGAAGAAAGGTTGGCTTGAAGACTGGTTTTAATTATGGCAGGGCTGGGCTGGCGTTGACTGGGCTTGTCCGGGTCAACCTACTGGTTTTTTAGATCTAGGGCGGGGTAATTTTTTCAAAAATTTGTAAAAGACTGTTTTTTGGCGAATATTGAAGAACCTTTTTAATTGAGGGGCGCTTTTATAAAATTAGGGTTGAAAATAAACTTTAGGCTTAAAAATGAAGTATTAGGCTTAAAAATGAATTATTAGGCTTAAAAATGAATTTTAGGTTTAAAAAGTGAACTTTAGGCTTAAAGATGAAATTTTAAGCTTAAAAATTAATTTTAAACATTAAACTGAATTTTAAACATGAAAATTACTTTTAGGCTTAAAAATGAAGTATTAGGCTTAAAAATGAATTTTAGGCTTAAAAAGTGAATTTTAGGCTTCAAAATAAATTTTAGACTAAAAAATGTATTTTACGCTTAAAAATGAATTTTAGGCTTAAAAACAAATACCACTTTGGTTTTTGTTGATTTTCCGTTATTTTGAACTGATAATTTTTATTTTCGTTTTTATCAATGGCGAAAATTAAAAGATAAAGGTCACTTCCATCATTTTTTGACCACCTTAACAAAAACCACTTTGAATCGCTTTTGAAGTTGTAAAGTCATAAAATTAGAACACTGATAAACAAATCGAAACTAAACTCCAATTTAAAGTAGAGTGGGGAAAATGCTGCAAAACGAAAAATGGCTATCATTGACTTAGGAAAAAAATAATGCAAAAAGTAAGCCTAAGGCTCGGTTAATACATATCGAGTAGTCAGTTTAAACTTTAAATTCTATTTTTAGGTTAAAGTTCCGCTTTCAAGCTTAAATTCATCGTTTAAGCCTAAGATTTATTTAAATTCTATTTTTAAGCCTAAAGTTTATTTTTAAGCCTAAAATTCATTTTTAAGTCTACTTTTTCATATTTAAGCCTAAAATTCATTTTTAAGTTTAAAATTTATTTTTAAGCCTAATCTTCTGTTTTAAGCCTAAAATTCATTTTTATGATTAAAAGTGCATGCTTTTTTGTGTTTTACTGTATGTTTTATCAAAAGCGCTTGCCGTAGACTATAAAACTACAGTATCTTTTCGTATTTGATCTCTCTTTACTGTGCGGTAAAATTCAGACTTGAAACGAACTAATTTAAGTTCTATCTTACTAGACTTGCCTTTAGGCGGCTAAACTACGTAAAACATGCTTTTATTCAATCAAACTAAAAGATTCCTCTTATGCGGTTAAACTAGTACGACATGCTTTTAGTTGTTTAAACTATAACATCTCCCTTAGGCGGTCAAACTAGTAAGACATGCTCTTAGTCAAGTTTAAACAAAGCCATTAACCGCTTGAAGTCGAATCGTTTTTGAGTTAGTTGCTCAAACAAACCCATGCCCTTAGTCGGTCAAGTTTAAACAGATCTATTAACCGCTCGAATTTGAACTAATTTTACTTTGCGGTAACGCGTAGACGACTTTTACTTTGCGGTAAAGCGTGGAGTATCCGTTACATCGCCACAGCTGCGGCGACATCAAACGCCGTTAATGGGATCAACTTATGGGGGGCTCATTTCCATGCCCCTATGTCCCACTGCGCGAAAAAAAAGTGACCGTAAAATGGCTGAGCCGACCGTATAATTGGAATTGTGGGGGGGGTGAAAGTGTTTAAAATAGAAATTTTAAAAAATGTAATAAAATAATGACAAAAGGACTTAGAAGTACAGGGAAACTTATAAAAATCAGTCAATAGCACAATATAAAAAAGCAAAATATCAATGATAATATATAATACATGATCATACATATATATTACAGGGTGTAACAGAACTTTTGACGCACTTTGTATACATGAACAATATCTTATTCCAGGTTCACGAGCTATGTGACAGTTTCTGTCAACGCTACGTCCAAAACCTCCGGGATCACATGCCAATGGATGTTATGAACGAAGAAAGAGCCGGTTCGGCCAACACAACCAATCCATCGCCGGCTTTGGGAACCCATTCACCAGCAATCCCAACCAGGACCTACGAACCACAAAGTGTACCACTGCCAGAGAGTAGTAACATGCATCTTCATCATGACGTAAGTGTTTTTTACAAATTTTTATAAGGGTGAGGAAAAATTTTTTGGGCAGGGTAAAAATTTTTGGGCGGGGTAAAATTTTTTTGGGCGGGGTAAAATTTTTTCGGGCAGGCAAAATAGTTTTTTGTGAGGGGTGAAGGGAGAAAAGGGTGTTTAAACATTTTTTGTCGAAAAATTTTGAATGGGTAAGGAGGGGGAAAAATTTTGGGTATGGTAAAAAAATTTTTGGGCATGGTAAAATTTTTTTTGGGGTAGGTAGGAAGTGATTATGCGTCTTTTATCAAAAACGTTTGAATAGGGAAAAACAGAAAAAAAATTTTGGACGGGGTAAAAAAATTTTTTTTGGGGGTGGATAATTTTTTTTTGACATAAAAAAATTAAAAGAAGGTGTTTTTTCAAAATTTATAACATTTTTACTAACCTTATACCTCTCCCATACTGTACCCTAGCCTTATTAGCCCAAAAACTATAAGCCTAGCTCAAGGTCATGGAGAATATATCGCCCCCCCCCCTTCTTCCTATTATAAAATCCATCCTTTTCGAATTTGCATAAGTCCACATTTCCTTTTGTTATGCCGATTGGGCCAGGGATAGGATTATACGTTATATTAATACGTAGACTATTGAAAATGGCATTGTTTTTGGCATATTAACATAAAGTCAAGGTCATGAGAATTGGCTTTTTTAAGTCTAAAATATACTGTCATACTCAAATATAAAAAAAATTAAGAAAATACACAATTTTTAACCGTATTTTACCAAAAACTTCATTTCAGTCCGCAGCCCAGCCGAGCATCGGCTTCGACCGGTCGGTGAATACGCCAACAGCTCAAACCCCAAACTCGAGTACGACCGACTCACACACTCCAGGCTCGGAGCGATTTCAGAACGTGAACGTCAGCAATGGAGCTGACCTCAACAGCCCTCGGAATGGGTAAGATGAGGTTTTGTAAAATACGACATTTTAAAAACCATAAAATTCAAAAACTAATTTTAAAAATAATATTTTAAGGCATTTTTTAAGCCTAAGAATTTAGCTGTAAGCTAATTTTAAGCCTAAAATTTAGCTTCAATTCGAAAGCTTCATTTTTAAGCCTAAAAATTAGTTTTAAGCCTAAAGCTTCAATGTTAAGCCAAATGTTCGTTTTTAACCCTAAAGTTTATTTGTTAAGCTTAAAGCTTCATTTTTAAGCCTAAAACTTTATTTTTAAGTCTAAAACTTCATTTTTATCTTAAAATTCATTTTTATGCCTAAAGCTTCAATTTTAAGCATAATATTTGTTTTTAAGCCTAAAATTCATTCTAAAGCCTAAAGCTTCATTTTTAAGCCCAAAAACTTCATCTGTAAATCTAAAAATTCTTTTTAAAACCAAATAGTGTTTTTTAAGCCTAAAATTTTCAAACTTCAGAAAAAAAACTAAAATTCGTTTAAAAATGACAATCTTTTCAGGACCCAAGCCAACAACTCGCTGAACTCGTCGTCCGGCTCCACCACCAACCTACTGGATGCTCGTTCTGAAGGTATGTGAAATGGAATAAAAGTGCACTTCTGTCTCTTGTTTTTACACTTTTGTTAGGTTGAACTACCCTTTTGTCATACTGTTACAGAACTTTTTTACTGTATGTTATACCGTGACAAATTTTGGGGAGGTGGGGGGGGGGTGTTTTCTTCATACGATACTGAAGTTTAGTACGTATAGTGTACTATAAAGTACCGAAATTTAGTACGGTGTATCATTCTGTACTAAACTTGAGTACAGTATATTATACAGTACTGAAAATAAGTATAGTGTACTACACTGTACTAAAATTCAGTACACTATACTATACAGTACTAAAACTCAGTACAATTTTTCATACTGTACCAAAATTTGTGACAGCTATGACATACTGTAGCAGTAAAAATCTTTTTCCTACTGTACTTTTTTTTATTTTTTGTGCTTTGAAACCCCTGATTTTTCCTCTATATGGCCATAATTTTTTCCAAAACCTCAATTAACTTTTCCACAACACTGTAAAACGCCCGGTTTTCGGGGAATGGTATACTGTAATTTTGGTACTGGTTTGCAAAAAATTTTTTTTTGGAAGCGGACGGGTGTAAAAAAGATTTTTTTAGGATGAGGAAGTTTCAGACAATTTTTTTTTGTGGAGGAGCGGGCGGGGTAAAAAAAATTTTTTTGGGAGTGGATAAAATTTTTTTTTGAAAGTGAAAAGGGAGAGAAAATTTTTTTTAGGGGGGGGGGGAAGGGATTGAGAAAAAAGAAAAAATTTTTTTTTGGCAAGGGCGGGATAAAAAAAAATTTTTTTTTGGGGGTAGATAAAAAATTTTTTTGGCCGCTCCACCTTTGAAATTCCAAAAAATTTAAAAAAAATTAAAATCAGTACCAAAAACCAAAAAAAAGGTACCATCCCCCTACTACCGGTCCCACTTTTTGCACTGAACTGTTTTTTATGTTAATTTTTCGAAAAATTTCGTTTTTTTGTGGATTTGACAAAAGAAAAGATATAGTTTTGTAGTATTGTAATAACTTTCGAAGAGCGCTTGAAGAGGAAATGTAATTGTAAGTCTTTTTTTACTTCGAATTAGACTTTGAACGTTCAAAAAATGTTATTGACTTTTGGGTGCAGCTGATCAGTTTTTGAGAATTTTTAGAGTTTATTTGGTATTTAAGTGAAAACTTTCTTTACAAAGCGGAAAATGACAAGAACTTTGTTTCCAAAACTTGAAATGGCAAGAGCTTTCTTTATAAAACAAAAAATGGCAAAAACTTTCTTTACAAAGCGTAAAAATGCAAGAACTTTGTTTACAAAACACAAAATGGCAAGAACTTTCTTTACAAAACTTGAAATGGAAAGAACTTTGTTTACAAAACAAAAAAAGGCAAGAACTTTCTTTACAAAGCAAAAAGTAGCAAGAACTTTTTTTACAGTGCAAGAAATGGCAAGAACTTTTTTTACGGAACAAAAAGTGACTTATCGTATAACTTGTCACCTGCAGGCTGCAAAGCGTGTTGTTTAAGTTTTTAGGGTGCAAATGGCAAAAAATTTCTTTAAAAAACGTAAAATGGAAAGAACTTTCTCTACAAAACAAAAAATGGCAAAAACTTTCTTTACAAAGCTTAAAAATGCAAGAACTTTCTTTTCCGATCAAAAAAATCTCAAAAATTTGGCTTGTCGTATAACTTGTCATCTGCTAAGCATCAAGTTTGTCTTATTATTACAAATGGCAAAAACTTTCTTTACACAACAAAAAATGGCAAGAACTTTCTTTACAACCCAAAAAAACATCAAATTAAAAATGCCATTTAAACCTTTAAAACTTTTAAAACTAGCCAGTTCTGCCCAAAGTCAATTCCCCAACCATAGGATAACTTAATTTTATGTCGTATTTATTATTGTTATAAACTGTCTTTTGTAAAGCAAATAAATTTTTATGACAAAACCATAGTTCTCTATTTGACAAAAAAGGGTTTTCCGGTCGAAAAGTTTGTAGAAAAGGTCAAAAATTTTATAGAAACGGGTTAAAAATGGCTTTTTTGGGCTATCACTAGCCATATGACCCATTCTTTTTTAGGTTGTTCAAATAATTCTGTGCTCTCTCAAACCAAGTTTTTGGGGCCGTGTGGCGCAGAATTTAATGAACAGCAAAATAGAGGGGGGTTTATAAACATTTATAGACTAAAAAAAAGCCATTTTAAAGCCTTTTTCTACAAACTTTTTGACCGAAAACCGACCTCAAAATGAAAAAAAAAAACGTTTTGGAAACCGTATTTTAGGTAAGTGGGCCTTATTTGTTTTACTAATCACTTTTTTGCTTCTTAACATTTTTTGATTTTGAGCTTTTCAAATTGAAATGAACGTTCAAGGCCTTCAACATTTCGTTTTTTCTTGATTTCACACCTTTTTTCAAGCGCTTCGTAAAAGGTTTTTACAGTTACTACAGATTTATGTCTTGTACAGTACTATTTTTTGGTTTTTTTGGTTTGGATTACTGTATTTTTTGTTTTACAGTTGAAAATTTTAGTTTTTGTTGATTTTTCAGGTTAAAATTGTGAATTTTGTTAGCTTTTTAGTTCAAAATCTGTTATTTTTTTACGTTTTTAGTTAAAATACAGTAAGATTTTGCTTTTTTTGGGTCTTAAAGATACAGTATTTTGCGTTTTTTAGTTTTTTTTGTTTTTTGTTTTTAGTGTGCTTGATATTTTGTTATAATTACCACTTTTGGTGCTGTGTTGCATTTGATCACTGTTTTTGCTTGCCAACCGCACTGGTTTGAGCACAGTTGGAGCGCTAGTCCATTTTTAATACCCTACCCTACCCTACCCTACGCTACCCTACCCTACCCTATCCTATTCTACCCTACCCTACCCTACCCTACCCTACCCTACCCTACCCTACCCTACCCTACCCTACCCTACCCTACCCTACCCTACCCTACCCTACTCTACCCTACTCTACCCTACCCTACCCTACCCTACCCTACCTTACCCTACCCTACCCTACCCTACCCTACCCTACCCTACGCTACCCTACCCTACCCTACCCAACCCAACCCGACCCTATCTTTCTACCCTACCCGATTCGGCTCTACCCTTTTATGCCCTACTCTTACAGTACCTCTACCTAAATCAGACAAAAAATATTTTGAGTCATAACTTTTTTTAAATGCCGATACAGATACGCGGTTTCGGGACATTGTAGGTAGGGCTTTAGGGTCACTAATTCTAGGCTAAAAAATTTTTTATTTGGAGCAACTTTGAAGTTATATTAACTTTACTGTACCCAACTACCTTCAAATTTTCAACTTTTTAATGTCAAACGCGATAAAACCACGCCCTTTGCAAAATTTCTAAAATTTTAAAAAAATGCAAATGCTACTTTTTGTAAAGCATAAAATAACGTATGTAATCCTAGAATTTGGCTAGAATATAGTTACAGCTGTTTAAAATACCGTATTTTCGAATCTTTTTCAATTTTCCGTTTCAATTCCTAATTTTCTGTTCGAAGGCGAATTAAAATTTTTTTCAATTTTCTTTTCGAAAATTTTACAAAGGCGTGGATGAGTAAATATGTCATTCGCACGCACTTGTAATTAGCCCTCGAGACGAGATTGTTTTCTTTTTTGGCTTAAGGAACTAGGGGTGGAGGAAGTTTGGGTACAGTAACAGTAGGAAAGGAAGTTGGAGTAGGGTAGGGTAGCGTAGGGTAGGGTAGGGTAGGGTAGGGTGGGGTAGGTAGGGTAGGGTAGAGTAGGGTAGGGTAGGGTAGGGTAGGGTAGGGTAGGGTAGGGTAGGGTAGGGTAGGGTATGTTTTTTTAATTAGTAGGGTATGGTATTTTAAAATATTGATAGGGGGTGTTTATACAATTTAAGAAAAGGTGGGGAGACGGTAACGCAAAAAAAAATTTTTTTTTAAATTTTTTTAAAATTAAAAAAATTTTTTTTAAAAATTTTAAAATTAAAAAAAATTTTTTTTTGAGGTAAAACTATCCTATATCATTTTTTACCCTCGCCCTGCCCCCTCCTGATTTCTAACCCTTCTAACTGATTTTTTTTCAAAAAAAAAATTTTTTTTGATTTTGTTTAAAAATAGACAGACTTCCACTGTACTCCAGCATCCCTTTTCACACATTTTAACGTTTTCGTGCTGCACTTGCATGTTGTCGCAACCTAGCAACTTTTAGACTCACCGCACTTAACTAACCACTTAACGCTTTCTAACCAAACATACGACGATATGGTCTCGAAGAAGCATGACGAATACGACTACCCTAAGGCGGAGTATCAACTGGTCGATTATTCTGACGGGTATTACAAGTACGAGGACGACAAGAGTACTGAGGATGTTGGGAATGACAATGACGACTTGCCTGATGACTATCACTTGGCATCGGCCGCCAAGAAGAGGGGCTGCTTTCCTAAAAACGCTACTAACAAACTAAAACACTGGCTTTTTCAAAATCTTACGGTAAATTTTTGGGGGAAAAAGATTGTTTTAAAGGTTGAAATTTCAAAAATTAAATTTGGTTTTTATTTTCTGCCCAAAAAACGGTTTTAAATTTGATTTTTGGCTACATAAAAATGACCTGAAATGTAATTTTGTTACCTAAAAATGACCTGAAATGTAATTTTGTTACCTAAAAATGACCTGAAATGTAAATTTGTCACCTAAAAATGACTTGTAATCTACTTTTGTTACCTAAAATTGACTTGAAATGTAATTTTGTTACCTAAAAATGGCTTAAGAGTTTAATTTTTATATCAAAAACTAGGCATAAACCTGATTTATTATCTAGAAATTCTTCTTGTTTGTTACCCAAAAAATAGCTTTTAAAGTTTATTCTTAGCCACAAAACGATTTTAAAATAAATTTTTTTTTAATTTTTAAAATTTTGCAATTTAAAAAAGTTAAAAATAAGGTCATAACTTGATTAAAAATCAATAAAAAGTCGAAAAAATTCAAAATAACTGCAGCTTAACACAAATAGATATAAAAATATATTGCACTTTGCTGTGTGAAATTACCGTATGCTCCTATACTACTAATGCTTTTGCACTGCACTTTTTTTACAAAAAAATTTTTTTTTGGTTTTGGAAAGGTTGTTATCACTTACATTCTTACTTTATCACTAACTTTTTTTTTCTTTGAAGCTTGTCATACCCTAACCTCTTCAGTGATGATGCTCATGACCCAGCTTGTCATTTTTGGCTGAGAGAAGGGGTCTTTATCTCCTCCTTACATTTTTTTGCACTGCTTAACCTTGCCCAGTTATGGTTTTACTATTGCACAGCTTGATATTTTATTTAACTTTAACTATAGAGCATTTAAAAAGTTTTGTCGTTTTTTAATACTAGTTTCAGCGAGAAAAACAGACAAAACTTTTTTAATGTTTGGTTTTGATGATTTTTCTCTTTTTCTTTGATTTATTCTTTATTTTCTACTTTTATGTCATCATTTATGGCTCATATTACATCTTTTTTAAATGATTTTCAACTTTTTTTGAAATTTCAAAATTTAAAAAAAGTCTCTGTACCAACTCTCATTTGACCATTCTTTTAAAGGTGATGACAATGTCTCAAACGGCTCATTGAACGAAGATGGACGTGACTCGGTGAACAGTGATGGCAACGCACCGTCCGAACGGTCGAAACGAAAAGTGCCCAAGGTGTTTAGCAAAGAGGCTATTACCAAGTTCAGGGCATGGCTTTTCCAGAATCTTGCGGTTAGTATTACTTCAGACTAGCAATTTTTAAAAGTGGCATTTTAGGGTTATATTGATTAAAAATGACGTTTAAAATGTTATTTTCAAAGAAAAAATTGAAAAAAACCAACTTTTAGGTACAAAAATAGTGCAAAAGCATACTAAAGAGCATACGGTTTACAAAGCAAACTTACTGTAATAAAAGCTACAGTAATCCTACATATAAAACATTTTTAAAATTTTAAAGTTTTGCAACTCTTTTAGGCTTATCTTATTTATTTTTCAGCACCCATACCCATCAGAAGACCAGAAGAAGCAGCTGGCTGGAGAGACAGGTCTGACAATTCTACAGGTCAATAACTGGTAAGTGAAATATCTTATAACAATTTTTATGGTTTCATATACATTTAGGCTTAAAAATGAACTTTTAGGCTTAAAAGTGAATTTTAGACTTAGAACTGATGTTTTAGGCTTAAAATGAAACTTAGGTTTAAAAATGAACTTTTTGGCTGAAAAATGAATTTTAGGCTTAAAAATAAACCTTTAGGCTTAAAAATGAAGCTTAGACGTAAAAATGAACTTTTAGGCTTAAAAGTGAATTTTAGACTTAGAACTGATGTTTTAGGCTTAAAATGAAACTTAGGTTTAAAAATGAACTTTTTGGCTGAAAAATGAATTTTAGGCTTAAAAATAAACCTTTAGGCTTAAAAATGAAGCTTCGACGTAAAAATGAACTTTTAGGCTTAAAAGTGAATTTTAGACTTAGAAATGATGTTTTAGGCTTAGAAAAGTGGTCTTAGACTTAATGAAGTAGGGCTTACAGATAGATAGATTTTAAGCTTAAAATTAGGACTTTAGTCTTAAAAATGAGAGTTTAAGCTAAAAAATGTATTTCAAATTGAATCCATTTCCTTTCATTTTTATTTTCTTTTTGCTTTGTAAACAAAGTTCCTTCCACCTTTTTCTAATCTCACATAAACCCGTTACATATTCAGTGTTCTTTGAAATTGTTTTTGAAAAACCGCCAGAAATCCCTTTCCATCCCGCAGTCCCATCACACTTGATGGATGGGGCCAGCTGCTCATTGCAAGAAAATTGTCGCAATCTGCATTTTAAGGTTTTTGGAGAGAGTGTTGAGGAAGTAGAGATTGGTTAGAGAAAGAGATTTTGGATAAATTCAAGAGAAAATAGCGTGTGTAATGAAGAGAACTGTCGAGTTGGAGATTAAAAATTTAATACAGTAAAACGGCTTAGGTCTAAAATAATATTCGTAAACTGAAATTGACCTTGTAAGTCTGAAGGTATAATTACATACCTAAAAGATATTTTTTAAGATCTCAGTTTAGTTTTAAAGCTGAAATTTCATTTTTAAGCTTAAACTTTATTTTTAAGCCTAAAATTTCAATTATAAGCCTTAGATTGATTTTTAAGCTTAAAATTCATTTTTAAAACTAAAACGTCGTGTTAGGTTTCATTTTTAAGCTTAAAATTGCATTTTTAAGCCTATGCTTATCTTTATAAGCCTAAAACTCATTGCTAAGCTTAAGATGTTACTTTTAACCCAAAAATTTGCTTTTTGAGCCTAAAACTTCATCTTTAAAACTAAAATTCAATTTTTAACTCTGAAACTTCATTTTTCAATCTAAAGTTTATCATTTTTAAGCCTAAAAATAATTTCTAAACCTAACTTTAGTAAAATTTTATCTTTTGGCTCAAATAATCAATATTTGCAACCCTTTCTACAATTTTTCCTAAAATTCATCGTTTTCAGGTTCATCAACGCCCGCCGCCGGATCGTGCAGCCAATGATCGACTCGAACAATCGTGCCGGTAACAGTTCAAATTGTCAGGTTTTTCGGAATCGCCGGAGGAAAAATTCGGATAAATCGCCGTCGCCCGAATGTCGAGTTTCGGTACCACCAGCACCAGGTTCGGTTGGAGCAGCTACGTCGACGACGTATAGTCCAGACCCTGCAATGTTAGTGTCTCCGGCGACCAGTACGTACCCCATGTTTGGTGCTGGATATCCTGGGTTTGGGACACCGTAAGGTTTTTGGTTTTTGGATATGATTCTTCGAGCCTAAGCTTTATTTTTTAAGCATAGAATTGAGTTTTAAGCCTATGATCAATTTTTCAAACTAAAAATTAGGTTTTTAAGCTTAACTTTCACCTCTAAGCCTAAAAACACATTTTAAACACAAATTTGAGTTTTTAAGCCTAAAATTTATTTTTAAGCATAAAATTCATTTTTAAGCCTAAAGTTCCTTTTTTTAAGCTTAAACTTGGTTTTTTTAAGCCTTAGGCTTATTTTTAAGCCTAAAATTCCTTTTTTTAAACCTAAATTTGGTTTTTTAAACCTATACTTCATTTTTTAAGCCTAAAATTCATTTTTAAGCATAAAATTCATTTTTAAGCCTAAAATTCCTTTTTAAGCCTAAACTTGGTTTTTTAAGCCTAAGCTTAATTTTTAAGCCTAAAATTCCTTTTTTTTAAACTTAAATTTGGTTTTTTTAAACCTATACTTCATTTTTTAAGCCTAAAATTCATTTTTAAGCATAAAATTCATTTTTAAGCCTAAAATTCATTTTTAAGCCTAAAATTTCTTCTTTATGCCCAAATTTCATTTTTTAAAATTAGGTTTTGGCCTTAAGCTTAAAACCTTATTTCTTAAGCCTAAAATCAAAACTTTTTAATTTTCAGAGGTTTTCCATCCCAAATGTTTATGCCTGGAATGGTAGGAGCGTACAACATGACACCGAGCAATTTGACTGGCAGTTGGGTCGATTTCAGCTCTAATCTTGGCTCTATGGACAATTAGGGTGAAATCATGAGTACCAATACCCTAGAGTTATGAGTACCAACATCAGTACTGCTTTTAGTACCATGAACACAATCTTGTACTAAGTTGTGATGATTTGAGTATTAACTAGTACTAAGTACAGTACAATAAATAACAACTTTAGTACTGAACTATAGATCATGACTACTACTTTTGGTACTCAAAACTATACCTTCCCGTCTAGTACCCATCTCTATGCCTAAACTGGTACTCCTACAGTATTAGAGCCACAAATGACATAAATTTTTTCTACTTTTACATGAAAATGACATTTTTTTGTCTTTTAAATTGAACTTTACATTGAAAAAACTTTAAAACTTCACATAACGAGCTCATTAATCTACCTTCGAAAGCTTACTGTATTATAATATTGCGTCGTATTTCATTACTCATTTCATTATTCTATGTAACTTTGGTTTTTTTTAATTTTTTTACTATTTAATCTTTTTGAAATAGTATTTTTTATTTTTTTTGGTACTATTTAGTACTAGTACTCATTTTGTACTGATGCGTACTAATATCTTTAACTTGTACTAGTACCAATTCAATACTAATTAGTACAAGTAATTCTGAGTACTAGTACAAATTTAGTGCTCATTAGTACTAGTACTAAATAGTACTGAATTAGTACTATTTTTTCAAATTTTTTAATTTTTTATAATTTGACATTTTCAAATTGACCTTACTTTTAAAAATCATTTTCTTTTCATTTTTATGTAAAAACTTTCTTGCCAGTATGAAAATAATTCGACTAGTAATAATCTCGTTTCACCGACCCGGACTTTTATCTCAACTCTTTTCTAAATGACATTTTTAATTTACATTGATTATTATACGATTACACTGTTTGTTAGCCATTTGTTTATCGATTTTATAGTAATAAATCTTGGACATATTATATACAATTGAGTGAATTTTGAAGTTGGACTACCTTACTCTAACAAATTTTAAGCACCGTACAGTATGACACCCTACCCTACCCTACCCTACCCTACCTTACCCTACCCTACCCTACCCTACCCTACCCTACCCTACCCTACCCTACCCTACCCTACCCTACCCTACCCTACCCTACCCTACCCTACCCTACCCTACCCTACCCTACCTTACCCTACCCTACCCTACCCTACCCTACCCTACTTGAAGTTGCTATATCTACACTCTAGCTACCCTGCCTTTCTTCGCTTTGCCCTACCCTATCTACTTCACCCCTGCTTGCTATAGCATGTCCTCGTATCTCTACCGTATCCTACCCTACATCATTCTCTTTTCTCTAACCTTATAAAAATCTACCCTTCTTTGCTTTACCTTTTTCTATTCTGTCGTACCCTGCCAAACCTTACCTTTATTCCTCCTTACCGGACCTTTCCCTACCCAACTCAACCCTAAATTACCTTGTTTTACTCCACCGTACTCCGTCTTACCTTGCTGTTTCTAAGCGCACCCTGTCTTACTACAACCTTTACTCATAACAATTTTGTGTTTATTATCATTCCGTTGATAACACAATTGATAAAACTACAAATCAAGCTCAATATACGTCCAACTTTATCCAGAAAAAATAAAAAATTGGTCATAACATCAATATTAGCTTTGATGTTGAACTCGTTTTTGATACTTCCTTCTGAGGTAGCATCTTCTTGTCCATCGCAAGAATTGTTGACATCGATTCACGAATTTATCAGTGATATAAGAGGTGAGGAGGACGAAAATCCCGCCCCAAAGAGCGATGCCAACGATGTAGTAGAGCATGATAACCACGAGTTCGAGGTGGTTTGAGGGTTCGGTGCGGATGTCACCGAATGCCGCTGCCATCATGGTCATTACACTGAAAGGGCGTAGGTAAAATGGCAATTTTTGGCTATTTTATGCGGTTTGTATGCTTAATTGGCTTTAAATTGGCTTAACGTTGGAAAGTGTTACTTAAAATCAGTGACTGTCACTTTGAGATAGAGTTTTGAGTTTTTAGGTAACAAATGGGTCGTGTATGCATAAAAACAGGTTTCTAGGCTTAACAGAGGTCATAAACCGTCAAAATAAAAAAATTGAAATTATCACCTAAAATAACTGACTGCCACTTTGGAATAGAGTTTTGAGTTTTTAGGTAACAAAAGTGGATTTTAAGCATAAAAACAGCTTTCTAGGCTTAACAGAGGCTATAAATAAACCAAATTGAAAAATATTGAAATTGTTACCTAAAATAAGTGACATCGACAATGCCCATCTTATCGAACTGATAGCACCACAAATAGTACCCTAATAGTACCATGAAGACGGTTACGGAAAATGCTGCTTTTAATGGCATTTCCTGGCCAATATCCTTCACTTTGACACTTTGCTGAAATAAATTGTTTTTGAAAATTCTTAAATTAAAAATTTTTTTTGAAAATGTAAAAACTCACAATACCCCTCCACTTAGCCTTCAGAACCGGCAGATGAACACAGTAAAAGTTGGCCATGATGTTGCCGACAGTAGCAATGAATCCATTTACCATGGCTACGATGATCATGCAATAAGCGGTCATAAATATTCGTCCAGAAGGTGTAGTTGGGGGTAGTTGTCCCCAGCCCATTCTTGATCCACTGTCGAATACATTCAATACCAGTTTCTCGAATGGGGCTTCTTTTAGCGATGGTTCCACGAATAAGAAGGCGACGGCTCCACCATAGACGAAGCCGAACATGACAAAGAAGTAGAGGATGTGAGGAATCGGGAGGAGGAACCACTGGAAATATGTTTTTATTTTTTGGGTAGAGTAGGAGAGCGTTATGATATATTAAGACAAGTGTAGGTAAGGTAGGATAGGGTAAAGTAGGGCAAAGTAGGGCAAAGTAGAGTAGACTACGGTAGGGTACTGTTTGGTAGGACTAGACTTACCGGCAAAGTTTTGTAGTAAATCTCCTCGATCTTAACGGTCTCTTCTGAATCTCGATATCCCAAATCTTCTTCACTATCAACCTCAGTAACATAGGTCGGTATAACGTATGATGCAAAGTTTTCGGTAATGTTTTTGCTGTTCCTTCTTCGTATACTACTCTTCTCTGGCTCTTCGTAATCTACTTTACTCTTCAAGTCTTCTAGCTTAGTGCATAGATTAGTGATATAGTACTCGTATTTCAGTTTCTTTTCGCTGCTGACATTGTTGTTGCTGTTAAGAAGTTGTAGGTAGGTCTGAGCAGTTTCTAGCACTTTATCTGGAGCCATATTGGCCTTGGCTTCACGTACTAATGAAGCCGCATTGTGAGGATGATGCCAGGTGTGGGGTAAGGAGTGCATCTGAAAGTAGTGGCATTATAAATTTAGAAAAATTTGGCTCAAAAAGAAATTTATGTTTACATAAAATGAAATTCTAGACTTAAAAATGAAATGTAGGCTTAAAAGTGAATTTTAGGCTTAAAGACGAAATTTTAGGTTAAGAGATTAGATTTTAGGCTTAACAATGAAATTACGCTTAAAAATCAAATTTCATGCTTAAAAATTTTTTTTAGGTTTAAAGATGAAATTTTAGGCTTAAAGATGAAATTTAGGCTTAAAAGTGATATTTTAGGCTTAACAATGAACATTACGCTCAACAATCAAATTTCACGCTTAAAAATGGATTTTAGGCTTAAAGACGAAATTTAGGCTTAAAAATGATGTTTTAGGCTTAACAATGAATTATCAGCTTAAAAATGAATTTTAGGCTTTAAAATACAACTTTAGGCATAAAAATGACATTTTAAGTGTAGAAATGAATTTTAGGTTTTCCTAGGCTGGATATTACGCTTAAAAATCAAACTTCATGCTTAAAGATGAATTTTAGGCTTAAAGATAAAATTTAGGCTTAAAATGATATTTTAGGCTTAACAATGAATATTACGCTTAAAAATCAAACTTCATGCTTAAAAGCGAATCTAAAATACAATAATCTAAACACAACTACTATTCAAAAAACTATGACATATGTATAAACTAAAACCCTAAAAAAATCAAAACCCAACCATATAGGACCCATATACCAATGTCAATATACCCTGTTTGCAAAGAGGAACTCCAATAAAAACCTTGAACTTTATATATTTGAACTTCAAACTTTTATCGTCATTTAATTACTTGAAAACACCCAAACGAGTGTAAAGCTCGTAAATCTTGTCATTTACGTAAATATGATGTCAACAAGCCATTTGAGACTAGGTTTGTTTTTAATAGATTACTATCGAAGTGATGAGGTTACTGTGTTCATGGTTCGTTTTTCAACAAACGTCACTTTTTAGTAGTGGTTGGTTCTAGTGTAACATAGGGTGAATACAGCTTTCAAATTGCTGTAACTTTGTTACTAAAAGGCATATCAGAATAAAACTATGGGAATGTATACACCTTCTTATGGTCTGTCAAACGTACATCTTCAGTTTTTTAAATTTTAGATATTTATTCATCTTCTTTTCAGGATATTAACCTTGCATAAGCGAAAGAAACAGGAAATTCAGGTAAAGCTACACGATTATGTTGTGGTTTTAGTAACGGAACATAGGTGACATTAGGCAGCTTTTTCTTGACTTTTGAAGGTTCTTAAAGGCAGTTCGACTGTTCGGCTTTCTCTTCTTGTTGTTATAGACATCGAATCAAAGTAAGCAATGCTGAACAAGTTGCAAAGCGTTGGATTAGGTGGAATTTGATTTTAAAAGTTTGGTAACATTATGAAGAATGTGTGCAATATTATTGTAACGTTTTATTGGCGTTGTCATACCTAAAATTTTATTTTGGTCTTCAAGTATGTTGGCTCAGAGATATTATGGATGTTCTTACTCTACCTTGCTCTGCCTTACCCTACCCTGCTCTGCTTTACCCTATCCGGCTCTTCCTTACCCTATCCTGCTCTGCCTTATTCTGTTTTACCCATTCTCAAGCATACCTTTCTCTACCCAACCATAATCTGCCCTACCTTCACCTTACCTTACCCATACCTACCCCCAAAGCCAAAAAAATGATCAAACTGTTTATATGTACAATAACAAGGTCAGTATAACAAGAAGAATTGATAGAGTTGTCAAGTTGCTCGCTTGCCTTTGCTCGCACTAAGTTGTTTCGATCTCTTGGCTCCCGACCCTGTGGTGGTTGTTCTGCCAACGGTGGTGTTAGTTGTTTTACTCGATGTTTGGCCAACGTTATTCGGCGTTCCGTCCGGATTTTTGGCCGGAAAGGCTTGTGCACTTTTGATTCCGTAAAATGTGTCTGTACTCTTTTCGTCCGGGTCCTGAAAATGGGGTTGATAATGTAAAATACGGTTAGTAACTTGAGTCTTGGGGGTTATGATGAAAAATTAGGTAATACTGAATTTGAAATTCGGCTTCTTTTTTGAAAAGTAGCAAGAACTTTCTTTACAAAAGAAAAAATAGCAAGAATTTTCTTTACAGCACAAGAAATGGCAAGAACTTTCTTCACAAAACATAAAACAACTTTTAGGCCAAAAGAAGAGGCAAAACGGGACTTTTAGAAGAAAAAAGCGAATTTTTAGGTAAAAAAAATCCTGATTTTACATTAAAAAAAACATTTTTCTTATCAAAAACGATAAAATTTTAACCATTTTCTTATCATTCAATACGATTCCGAACCAAAAGCGCGCCCAAAAGCAATAAAAAAACATTTTTAAGAGCCCGTTGATCATGGCCGCCATAGCTCAGTCGGTTAGAGCGTGGGTCTAATAAGCCCAAGGTCGCAGGTTCGACCCCTGCTGGCGGCAAAGATTGTTTTTGGACTTTTTATATATTAAAAATATTAGTTTTTAGCAAAGTAAAGTAAAATATTGTAGTAATTTTTATTTTTTTAAGGGTCATGTTAAAAAATTGCATTTTTGAGTTAAAAAATGGATTTAAAATATCAAAGTTTGTTGAAATAACTTGAAAAGGAGGGAAAAACTGAGACAAAAAAGCAAAAAAAAGGTGTTTTGAGCTTGTAAAAGCACGTAAAAGCCTAGCAAAAATAAGAAAAAGAACCTAAGATTATATACTATCTGAAAATACAAACAAATATAATCTAAAAATACCAATAAATACCAAATAAAAAGGCCAACTCACAGCAAAATCGGGCAAATGTCCGGGCTTATAACCCCGATTCTCGGGGTTTCCACTCAACTTTTCGTTCTTGACTTTTTTCTGACAATTCACGAACAACACAGTATTCAGTAACACAATCCCAAATATACTCATAGTGCATGACACGACGTCATACATGCTTTGAAGGTCAAAATACGGAAACGTCGTTTATTTTAGCGTGGAACCGCCAGCTTGGGCTTTGGTGTAAAAAAATAATAAAAAATTAGTTTTGAGGGTTTTGGGAATTGAAAAAATGGTAATTTGGGTTTGTGAAAAAAGAAAAATTTTTAATTTAATTTTTGAAAATTTTTTTTTAATTTTTAAATTTTCAAAATGAAAGTTAATAAAAACAGAAAAAAAGGTCACGTAATGTCGAGTCAGACCGTAAAGAAACAAAAAGAACCTACAAATGCTTAGTTTTTATTACTCTTTGACGTTCCAAAGTCAAAACATCAAACAGTTGTAATGAACATAAACGTAGTTAAACCATCACCTTTTGGATTTAAAAAATGAGCCAAAGTTTTACTAATTTTATTTTTTTTTGTAAATTATTTGCTTATTTAGACCTGAAACGGGGAAGACTAATGTGTAAGTTACTGGGCCGAGCCGGAGCACCCATGAGCCCCGAGCCGGGCCAGAAAATTGGGTTTGGTCGCTTTACAGGTCTACTTGCTTCTGGCTTTACTATATCACAACTTTCGCCCTAATTCATTGCCCGACGCTTAAATAACCTTATATTTTGCTTTAGGCTTTGAAACGAAAAATTCACGCTGAGAATTTATAAACAATTTGGCGAGTTTCGTTTTGTTCTTTTTCAGATCACGTATCGGTCAAAAGTTTTAATCGTTTATATACGTTTTATGTGGTTTTACTATTCTTATTTCACCGTAGCTTGAGTCTAATCAGCTCTTCGTTTTTAAGGGTGAGGAACGGCCCGGCCCTGCGATCGGCCTTGAGTTAAAATTGAAACGGGCCGGGGTCGGAAATTGACCCAAAAAACAATTAAATTTTTTAAAATCTTTTGTTTCGAAGCCTCCCCCTAAAATTTTCAAAAAAAGTTGAAAGTGGTCCCTTTTGTGGATTTTCCGAAAAAATTTTTTGCAAAAAATTGGCACTGCCGATTTTTTCGACCCCCGCCCCCAGACCAAAAGTCCCCGCCTGGGTACTATGATCCATAAATGATCTGAAGAAACAATGTAAAGCCAAATTTCCGTTTATTTTTTAAGTTTTAAAATTTTAAGGATTTTTTAAAACGGGCTTGCCTAAGAAAAAATGAAAACGAACTGGGTCTAAACGTTGGGCCCCGGCACTGCGCCGTACCTGAAAAGTGGGCCTGGCCCTTTTCTTACCCCTATTTGCTTTAGTTTTACTGTAGCTGTGCCCTAGCTTTACTAACCGTTCTTGTTTTAGCTTTAGCCTTAGACATAGTTCAAGTTGCAGCTCTTAGCTTTAGCCTAGCCTTGGCTTTTCTCGTAGCCACATTCTACCTTTACCTTATTATTTTCAGCTCTATTTTAGCCCTATCCAGTCTAGTCTAGCCTATCTACTATAGCTAGCTTTCTTTTTTATCTGACATTTCTTATACATACCTATTCTTGAAAATCAAAGTTAATATTTTTATTTCAGACATGACTACTCAATTTCTACTAGTTATGATATGTTTTATCACCACTCATTTATGCACATCAATATCTACAACATCAGATGACGCTTCCTCTACTACCGAAGAGGCGCTTCATAGTATGTACGAATTCAACGCAAACGGCGTGGTACAGCCGGCTGTTTACAGAGGACGTTTACAAGGTGCAAGTGTAAAAGGAAGATTACTGTGTGGGGCCACACCTATGGTTGGAGTTAAGGTTAAGATTGTGGATATTGATCAAAGTAAGTTGGGTTTTCGATGGTTTGTGGTTGGTTTTTAGGATACCGGTGTTAAAGAATGTCAGTTGTTTAACCCGACCTCACCTTATCATACAGTACCCTACTCTACCAAAGGCAAAAATTTTGTAGGCTTGGGTACTGTATGATAAGGTGAGGTGGGATAGGTTAGAGTAGGGTAGAATGGAGAGGATAGTGTAGGGTAAAGTAGGATACGGTGAGATAGGATAGGTTACGGCAAAGGTAAATCAGGGTAGTGAAGCCTACCGTAAGATACGTTAAGAGGTAAGGCTAGGATTACGGTAGAGTAAGAAAAGATTTAGTATGGGGCTTAGTAAGGTCAATGTATGAAAAGACTACAGTCAGGGTTACGGTAGCCTAGGGCTGCGCATACCAATTGCTGTAAGTTAGGGTAGGGCAGTATAAGGTAGGGTAGGGTAGGGTAGGGTAGGGTAAGGTAGGGTAGGGTAGGGTAGGGTAGGGTAGGGTAGGGTAGGGTAGGGTAGGGTAGGGTAGGGTAGGGTATGGTAGGGTAGGGTAGGGTAGGGTAGGGTAGGGTAGGGTAGGGTAGGGTAGGGTAGGGTAGGGTAGGGTAGGGTAGGGTAGGGTAGGGTAGGGTAGGGTAGGGTAGGGTAGGGTAGGGTAGGGTAGGGTAGGGTAGGGTAGGGTAGGGTAGGGTAGGCTAGGGTAGGGTAGGGTAGGGTAGGGTAGGGTAGGGTAGGATACCGTAGGGTAGGGTGGTCAAATTTTTAAAACTTTCAAAAAATTTTTAACTTTTCAGAACCAGACCCAGACGACCTTCTAGGCGACGTCCTAACTGATGACGAAGGTTATTTCCATGTTAGTGGAGTCACAAGAGAAGACACGGATATTGAGGTTATGATCAAGGTTTACCACGATTGTGACGATCCAATGCCATGTCAACGGAAAGTTGTGTGGAAAATACCATCAAGATACCACAACAATGGCACATTCGTGGAATGGTTTGATGTTGGCACGATTAATATGGAAATGAAGTTTGTGGGGGAGGAGAGGGATTGTCGACATTAAACTTTAAATTTAAAAGTTTGAAATAATGTAAACTACAACATGAAATACTTTTTAATACTTTGAACAAGACAAGATTTGAGTTTTATTACTTTCAAACCTAGCATTTGACTCTATGTTTGGTCCCACGACGAAAACATTTTATGTTGGCATTATGCAACAACTGGCCAAAAGGCTTCATTTTATGGTGAAATTTACTGATCCCAAGCTTTTGCTAAAATATTAAAGTGGTCTTGTGAATCACAAATGCTTTCCATCCTTGGGGCTTTGTACGGCTTGGCATGGTCCACTTTGGCAGTGCATTTTAAAAACTTGACCTTTTCGAAAAAGCGTGCTCGCATCTTTGTTGAGAATCTGAAAAAATGATGTTTTAAGATATTGCTGTACCTCACCATACCCTGCCCTACCTTACTCATCCTACTTTATCTTACTCTACATTACCGTACCCTTCATTACTGTATCTTACATTATCGTATCCTCTTCCTACCCCACTCACTGAAGTATGAACTAAAAAGCTCTTTGTAGAAAAATGAACTTACAGTATTAAAAGTAGAGGAGCAGTACAATTTCCGGTGACACCAAAACACGTCATATAATGATGTATCATTTCCGAGGACTCATAGGTTACCATGCCAGACAAAACTACTGCGAAACTGCCTTGGATTACAAATGAGCTGAAAACAAGTTTAAAATAAAGAAAAGTTGTTTTACCCTGCCCTACTCTATCCTACCAAAAAAGTTTTTTCACTCCATTTTGCCTTACCTTAAATCTGCTTTACCCTACCCTGCCTTACCGTGCTTTATTATACACTAACCGACTCTACTTTACTTTACCTTATCTTATATGGTACTCTACCCCACCTTGTGTTAATTTATCCAACCCTACCTACCCTAGACTAGGTTATGGCTTAAGAAAGTCTAGGGTAGCTCTTAGACTGGCCCAGGGAAACGATAAAAAACTCACTAAATGAAAAGGCTAATACTCCATGGCAATAAAAGACGATTTATGGCTACATTCTCATTCAGTTGGTACCGGTAGCTTAATGTTTCACCGATTCGAATTGGTCGATTATATAGTTTTAGGTTCACTTGCTCCAGGTAAATGAAAATCTGAAAAAAAAATTATAAAAAAAATTTTAAATTGAGTTTAAAATAAAATATAAAATTTCACTTGAAAACCCCACCCTCCTAAAGAAATTTTTTTACCACCCCCTCCCTCCTTAAAAATAAAAAAAAATTTTACCACACCCGGGCCAAAAGTACTCGCCTAACTCCAAAAAATATTATATGGCTTCAAGAAAGCACAGTGAAACCAAAAAAAATACAGTATTCCTTACCACAAAAGCGATAAAATTCAGTAAAATAGACGCACAAAAGAAGGCCAACACTCCTTGAGCATAAGCTTGCATTTCGGGTTTAACCAAATAATATAAAAAATGCTCTCTTGTGTACATGGCATTACTTATTGTTGATATAAACATGCCCAATGTCATCTGGAATTGAAATATAACAACTTTATTTTGTGTGAAGAGTACGGCTTCAAGGTAGCCTGGAGTTCGGGCTAGAGCTAAAAATAGAACAGGGGCTAGTGCTAGGACTAGGGCTGGAGATAAAGCTAGAACAGAAACTAAGGAAAGAGGCAAAGCTAGGATAGTGTGAAGCTAGGATTAGGGCCACTGCTAAAACTAAAACAGAGACTAGAGCTAGAGATCTTGACTAGAACTCTAAATTAGAATTCTAGGCTAGGCCTCTGGACTTGGGCTCTAGGCTGCGGCTCTTGTCTATGTCTCTGGGCTAGGGCTTTTGAAGAAGGCTCTAGTCGAAGGATCTAGGCTAACATTAAAGCCAAGGCTAGAACTGGATCTAAAGATAGAGCTAGTGCTTTGGACTAAAGCTTTGGTCCAAGACTCTAGACTACCGCTTTAGGCTAGGCATATGGTTTCGGACTAGAACTAGGGCTAAGGCTAGGACTAAAGATAGGGCTCTGCGTTAGGGCTTTAGGCTGAGGTTCTCGGCTAGGGCTCTGCGCTACTAATCTGGGCTAGGGCTCTGGGATAGGGCTTTGGACTAGGACTTTGGGCTAGGGCTCTGGGCTAGGGCTCTGGGCTAAGGCTAGGCACTTACTTGAAAGCCAAAAAACAAGACTGTAGAAACATGAAACTTCTTGGCTTCGTATGTTTTAGAAAACACAGAAGCGGCTACGCGTTCGGCACATACTGGAAGCTCTGATATGACCAGTGAGTAGACCATGGTGTACTAAAATAATATAAAATTCAAATTTTATATTAATATTAAACGTTTTTAGAAAGGAAGGGTAGGGTAGGTTACTCTCTGCGCAACCTACCTTAACATAATCCATTACCTCCTCCAAATCATAAAAGTCGACCCGCAACCAGTCGACTAGTATCCGGTCAGCCATGTTGACCAAATCCAATGTTATTACTACGGCCGAACGTAGAGTCAAAATAACTCGTAGATTTATATGAACATAGCCTCGTTTCAACTCATTTATCAAAAATGCATTTATAAAAATTGATAAAACATTCAACAACACTTCTATTTGTTGAATCATTGTTCTAATCTAAAATTTACAATTAAAAAAGACGTTTTTTAGCTTTATGTTATTGTAAAATTATTTTGAAGCAATAGCTGTCAAAGCCGTATTTTACCAACTTTAAAATTTCCATCAAAAACTTTTTGACAAGCTTGGATTAAAGCTATACCTAAAGTGAAGAATAAACGCAAAAGGATAGGACCAGAACCAGGGCTAAAGCCAAGCCTAAGATCAATACCAAAGCTAGGACTAAAGATAAGGCTAGAGATAAAGCATGATTTAAAGCTAAAGCCAGACCTAAAGCTAAAACAAGTTCCATTGCTAAAGCTACAGCTAGGACAAGAGCTACAACTGAGATTAGTCACAGGGTTAGAGTTAGGGCGAGTGCTAGAGCTACAGAACTGACCTCAGTGTGAGTGCTGAGTCTAGAGCTAGAACTAAGATCTATTTCTGGGTTAGAGCTATTGCTAGAGCTAGAGCTAGAGTCAGAGCTAGAGCTAGAGCTAGAGCTAGAGCTAGATCTAGAGCTAGAGCTAGAGCTAGAGCTAGAGCTAGAGCTAGAGCTAGATCTAGAGCTAGATCTAGAGCTAGAGCTAGAGCTAGAGTCAGAGCTAGAGCTAGAGCTAAGGCTAGAGCATAACAAATCCTTACCGTCTATAACAAAAGTTAACCAAAAATTACAAACCACAATTATAATTGTTGACAGTGCATAGACAATATCTTTTCACAATAAATAATATTATGTGTACTACCAAAAAAGAAGTTTTCCACCCTCACCATCATTAAAAACAAGTCTTAATTAAAGACGTCTATTTAGAGTAACATATTAATAGAAAAGTGACGATTTGTATGAAGCAGGTAACGTTTAACTTCCTTATCATTAACATTTTCAACTTATTATGGCCTTAGGCCAGAACCCAAAGCCCTAACCCAGACCCCTGGCCCAAAGCCTTAGCCCAGAGCCCTAGCCCAAAGCCCTAGCCCAGAGCCCTAGCTCAAAGCCCTAGCCCAAAGCCCTAGCCCAGAGCCCTAGGCCAGAGCTCTAGCTCCAGCTTCAGCCCCAGCCTTGGCTCTAGTGCTAGACGAGATCCCTAGGTTGTAGCCTTAATCAAGAGCCTGAGTTTGCAACTTTGGCCTAGATCCGTAATCCTAGATTAGAGCACAAATCTAGGGTTCTAGTCCTGGCCTTAGTTTAGAGTCATAGTCTAGATCTGTAGCCTACAGCTCTAGCGGTAAACTTGTTCCTAGCCCTAGAAAACCATTTTTGTGCTTTAGCATTAACCCTTTCCTTGCTTTACCTTACTCTTTCTCATTTCTATCCTTGTTCTATAACCCCTATTAGAGACATCTAAACAACCCTTAGAGCCTACCCTTCCCTTTTTAATGTTACAATGCTAAAATAAAATAATCATATGTCAGTCTCTAAACAATGAAATACCAAAAACGTGTTTACATACTCAAAACAGTAGCATTTGTTAGTACCCAAATAAAAACAGAAACCACCTTTCAAAGATTAGTCTAAAGCATTACTTTGATTAACCCTAATTGGCGCGTAAAAATATGTTTTACCGCAAAAATAAACACAACTTTTGGGCAGAAAAACCAGTATTTAGGTACAAAATAGTATACTAGACTGCTTTTGAGCGTGTTTTGCTGGCATGGTTAGTTGGACTTTAAATTTTAATTTTTTTAAAAAATCAAAAAGTTTTTACCCTACCCTACTTTACCCTACCTTACCCAACCCAACCCTACCCTACCCTACTCTACCCTACCCTACCCTACCCTACCCTACCCTACCCTACCCTACCCTACCCTACCCTACCATACCATACATTACCCTACCGTACTATCCTCTAAACTACACTACCCAGCTTTACCCTACCCTACATGTATTGTAATTTAGAAAAAAGGTAATACGTACCTACAGATAAAAACCAAATATTTAGACATTGTTTTTGTACGAAGTACGATTTCCTACGCCGGCAAAAATAATAGAATAACAAGACTACATTGATTACCTAATTAACTTGTTTTTCTAACAAAAAAGCACAATATGTTCGAGTATATTTGAAACCAGATTTAATATTGCAAAATTCTAAAGTGCAAAAAATCAACCATTTTAGAACGCAAAGTATTAAAAAAACCTAGCCTACCAAGCCAATGTTAAAGTCTAATAAACCTAAACTTACTGTGCCTTAGCATACAAAGCCTAAACTTAATAAGCCCAGGCTTACCTATGCTTCATCTTACAAAGCTTAAGTCTAAAAAAGCCTTTGGTAAAAAAACTTCAGTTTAAAACGCTTAAACCTACGAAGCCTAAACCTACTAATTTTTAGTCTACAAAGCCTAAGCCTACAAAGATTAAGCTTGCTAAACTTACCCTTACTAAACCTAAGTCTAGTCTTTCTAAACCTAAGCATCTAACAGACAGTCTGAAACGTTTTGAAATACCAAAGCATTAAAAAATAGCTAAGGAATTTTTCTGATTATTTAATTAACTTTCCTATGTCATATACTCATAACCCATTCACAAGCATTTTCTTTAGGTTTTTTTTTCTAAAAATTTTTTAATGGATTCTCAGAAATAAGCTTTATTGTTCAGCAATGTCACAAGGACTGTGAACTGTCTTCCGGAATATTTCGATTAACTAGAAAAATAATGCGTAACTAGAAAAAGTTTAGTTGCGTGTTGCGTTAAAAATGGAGCTTTAAACTAGGCTTATAGTTTGAGCCTGCGCTGGAGCTCGAATCGCTACAGCAGCTAGGCTAGAGCTAAAGCTAGAACTAGGGTAAAGGCTATAGCTAAGTTTATGGCTAAAGCAAGGGCTAACGCTAAGGCTTAAACCAGGACTAAAGCTAGGGCTAGAGCTAGAGCTGAGGCTAAGGAACTAAGGCATCCCTTGAGCTCGGATTAAGGGAATGGCTAGAGCTAGGGCTACGCCATCAAAAAATTTTAAAAAATACGTAAGTTGATGTTTATTCTTTCAACAATAACCAATATATGATACATACAAAATAATATATGATACATACAAAATAATATATGATACAAAATGACATTAAATCAGCATAAAAAAATTCAAAACCTTAAAAGATTTATTTTAAATTATATAATAGTACATAAACCCCTGAATAAGTACAGTTGCGGCATTGCGTAGGATCAAAGACAAACGACAAATTTATTGTGGTGTAATATTGATTTCTTAAAAAATTAATTTATCTTGTGATCAAATGGACTTTAGCTACAGGATTTTCTAGATGATCCGACGGTAAAGGAGAGAACGAGAGAGAGGAAAGTAAAAACCAAAATTTTTTTGACCCTTAGGCGCCAGTGCACACGTTTTTCAAAAAAATGTTTTTTTTACCCTACTCTACCCTATCATAATGTAAGGTAGGTGACACTATGATATAACAAGGCATAACTGTTAAGGTAGGGTAGAGCAAGGAGAAAAAAATTCGTTTCAAAAAACCAAATTCACACCACAAATTACAATAGAGATCAATATTGAATAGAATAACTGTGTTATAGCACTTGTGGATACGATAAATTATTTTAGTTTAGCAATTTATAAAAGTTATCGAAATCATTTAAAATTCAAAAAAATATCAAAAAACATTAAAATTTCAAAAAATTTTTGAAAAGGTATTACTGCATAATAAGTTATTGTAAAATGTCATAGATAACGCAAAAAAGTGTCAAAGGACATATTATAATAGAACTTAAAATTATTGTATAAAAATACCGGTAAGCAAAGTGTAGGTAGTACTCAACTTCTAAAAATGGTACCATTAGAAACATTTTTCAAAATCAGTACCAATCTGTTTACAAAATGAGTACCAATCAGCGTCCGACGTTCTAGATGTACCATTTTCCAACATCAGTACCAATCAGTGTATTAGGCATACCATACTGTCCTAGACGAACCACTCTGTCCAAGAAGTACTACACCGTCCTAGACATACCACTCTTTGAAGTCCTTCTTACGGTCCCGACCCCACGTCCTCGACCCTCCATTAGCAGCACCATTAGCATTGCCATTAGTACGAGCAGGTGATGTCTGGCCATTTTGGTTCACAACATGTTGCCCAATTGTCTGATAACCCATACCATTCGGATGTGGCCCACCATTAGTTAAACCATTCGGCCGACGCATCGCCGAAGGTAAGGTTTGAGCACCGTTCATGGATTCGTAGCTGAAAATGAAAAAGTTATTAAGAGGGTAATCGGTGGTTAATGCTGGCCTAAGAGATGAAATCAAAAAAGGTTAGGATAGTACAATATAGGGTAGGGTTGGACATTGTAGTGTAATAAAGAGTAGAGTAGTGTAGAGCAAAGAGGGTAGGTTAAATTAGACTATGATAAGACATAATAGTAGGGTAAAGGTTGTTAAGAAAGAGTAGGGCTGTGTAAGACACTTTACAATAAGGTACCGTAGGGTAAGATAGGATAGGGTAGGGTAGAACAGATAAATTTAAGTTAGGCTACGGTAAAGTAAAATAGGGTAAGATAAGGTAGGGTCAGATAGGATAGAATATAGTATAGTACAGTACTATTGGGTAAGAAAACGTACCATACGGCCATTTAAAGCAAGGTAAGGGCAGATAGGGTAGGGTAAAGCAGAGTCATCAAGGTAATTTAGAGGAAAGTAAAGTAGGTTAGAAGTACGATATGGCATAGGATAAGGTAAAATAAGATAGGGTAAGATAGGTTACGATAGGGTAGGGTGGGGAACGGTAGGGTAGGGTATGGTAGGTTAGAGTAGGGTAGGGTAGAGTAAGGTAGAGTAAGGTAGAGTACGGTAGGGTAGGGTAGAGTAAGGTAAGATAAGGTAGGATAGGGTAAAGTAGGGTAGATTATGATAAAGTAAAACAATAAATGCTAAACCTACTTGACCCTAGGGCTCATTCCAGCGAATTGTTGAGTGTGTTGAGCAGCTGGTGGTGACATTTCACTAGGAATGGGAGTATAGCCATGGTTTCCACTACCCAACATGACATTACCCATGCCCATTGAGGCTTGCTTTGTGCCACTGTAGGCCATCGGATAAGTGGATTCGCTTGGTGGAGCTGATTGACGGCATCTGAAGACGCAGAAGACGACGAAAGCAATGATAATGATAACTGACACCGAGGCTATTGATATGAGAGCGGTTCGTGGAAAGTCAGTCGTCACTATTGGAGCCTGAAAATATTTAAAAATGAAGTCAGATTTAAGCCTAAAGTTGATTTTCAAGCCTAAAATTGTTCTTTAAGCCTAAATATTCATTTTGAAGCCTAAAAATTTATTTTAAGCCTAAAATTCATTTTTAAGCCTAATTTATTTTTAAGCCTGAAATTCATTTCTAAACCTAAAACGCAATTCTTAAGCCTAAGATCCATTTTCAAGCCTAAAATTGCATTCTAAGCCTAAAATCCACTTTTAAGCCTAAAAATCCTTTTTAAGCGTAAAAATAATTTTTAAACCTAGGCTTTTTGTTAAAGTAAAGCCATTTTTAATTAATACCGAACTCAACTCAACCCTAAAACGCTAACCCAGCCTTACACTACGCTACCCCACCCTCATATTAAGCCTAAACCACCTTAGTCGTGGTCAACAAATCGCCCATTGGTGTGGTCGGGCGGACCGCGTACAACGGTATGGTGGTGGTGGATTCCGTTTGGATTGTCCTCAACTTTTGACGCGATGCTTGTGTGGTCGTTTCCAGCCAGCGTGTCGTACTCACTGAAAACAAAACTCTGAGTTTCGAGTAAATTGACCATAAAACAAGACCAAAGTGTAATGTAATTGACTTGGGAGCTTTTACTTCGAATTTTCCAAAGTTTTCAATTGTTTTAAAGTGCATTTCGGAAGTAAAAGTGAAATCTCAAAAACAACTTTTCAAAATTTAAAATGCACTTTTTTAGGCCTGAACATCAAACTTTGGCTTAAAAACAAAATTATAAGTTAATTATCAAGCCTAAACTTTTATTTTTAAGCCTAACATTTTACTTTTAAGCCTAAAATTGATTTTTAAAAATAAAATCAAGTTCTTAAACCTAAAGTTTTATTTTTCAACCTAAAATTCCATTTATAAGCCTAAAATTTATTTATAATCCTAAAATTTTATTTTTAAGCCAAAAGTATTATTAAGCCTAAAATTTCATTTTTAAGCCTAAAATTCAGCTTTAAGCCTACAATTATCATTTTAAGCCTACAGTTCATTTTTAAGTCTAAAATTTTGTTTTTAAGCTTAAAATTTGATTTTTATGCCTAAAATTTATTTTTTAAACTTAAAATTTCATTTTTATGCCTAAAATTGACTTCTAAGCCTAGAATGTCATTCTTAAGTCTAAAATTTATATTTACAACTAAAAATCCAAAATTTGAAAAACTGAAATTCCAATCAAATTTATTAAAATGTCCGCCCCAAAGCTCGCGCAACCCTCAAAAACGAGTACTTGAAAACTGGGAAAACGCATTTTAATTCAGCTCTAATCCCGAAAGATGATGCATTTGTGATGACCAAACACTCACAATGCCCAATCTCACACACACACGAACAAAACATAAACTTGTAATTGGGTGTGACATTTGCCAAACCTTTTTTTGTTGAACTGTGCCCTAACGAAGGCAGCCGGAAATCTCTGGCGACAGATGGTTTTTCGGCCAAGCAGAGTTTTCAAATTTAGGATTTTGCAGGAAAATGGTTCTTTAAAATTTTTTAACTCGAAGGTGCCATTTTACAAAAAAAGTTAAAGTTTTATCTAAATCTTACCCTGTCTTACGAAAAAAGGCATTTTTAAAACAATAACCCCTATTTTACAATCTAAAAAAGGCTAAAAAGCTTTAATTTCAGCCAAAAAATGTCAAAAATAAGCCAAAAAAACACTAGGTCCCGGCGGGGGTCGAACCCGCAATCTTCTGATTAGAAGTCAGACGCGTTATCCATTACGCCACGGGACCACGCTGCTAAGAAGGTTTAGGGTTACCCTTTTGGCTGGGTTTTAAGGCCGAACGGAATGATTTTATCATTAAAAAGGAGTTTTTGGCTAAAATTGTAAAGAAATACAATATATTTTGTCATAAATAACTAAAAACTTAAAAAATTAAAAAAAATTTTTTTTGAAAAAAAAGTTGGTAAATTATATGTGTGCTGTTTAAAGGATTGTACAATATAAATATAGCCATAGAAATGTAAAATATAACCATATAAACCAAAAAAACCTTATAAAACTTTTAAAAACCCTATTTCACACCCCCAAAATCCACAAAAACCCAAAAAAACACCCATTTTTCCCCGTTTTCGGCCCATAAATGAACAACAAACACGTTTTTTCATAACTAATAAACGTTAAAACAGTATGTAAAAAGTTTCCGTCTTCTGTTTTCCTCAAAAATTTTTAATCGTTTCGCCCCAAAAATGGGCTTCTTTTGTCGTCATGGCCAAGGGTTTTTTCGGCCACAGAAGAAAGTAGAAGAGAAATTTTTAAAATCTTCTTTCCACTCAATTTTAACGTCTTTCCTCTCGCATCTTTACAATCCTTTAATGTTTTCAATAACAAATGGCTATATTAGGAAAATAAAGTCTTGTTGTCTTTAGGTGTTTTGTTTGGACGTACTTTGGATAAGGTATTCTTAAAAAATTTGAAAAAGACAGTTGTTATATGTACAGTGAAACTGCTGTATAACCAAGTCATCTATAACGAAACTCCCTTACAACGAACAAATTTCAAATCCCCGAGCAATACATGAGTTCCACTGAAGTTCTATGTTCAGTGAAATAACGATCGGGCATTTGAAGGATGTTCGTTATGAAAGAGTTACAGTATAAGCGTTTTAAAAGGATCGTCTAGTGTAAACTAGAGATTCAAAAATTGTATGTTATACAGAATTTTCGTTATAGAAGAGTTCGTCATGCAGGAGTTCCACTGTACTTATAATATTCCTGGTTTAGACGTGAAAGGGCTAAAGCCCTATAAGCCCTGGTCAGCTCGGGCCAAAACATGTCAGTACGAGGGCCGAGGTTTAAACCAAGAATCAGCCCGCGAGTCAGACAGAAAAATTTGGCCTAGTCCCTTTACAGGCCTATCCTAATAGTTTCAGTTACGAAGTTTTAAACTACGTGATATTTAAAAACCCCAAATCGTAACGTAGAAAACAATTTTCGGATAAATATGGTAAAACAAACTGTTTTCAAGAGCTTATGTTAAACTGAGATTAGTCTTAAAAACGTAACATTTTTCTAGAAATTAACAGCTCAAGATTTAATAGTTTAAGTCCTATTATTTATATTTGTAGATTTGTAGAGTAAACAAGTTTGAGTTCATCGTCATGAAAAATTTAGGGTAAAAATAAAGTTTTATATTAAAATATGAAGTTTTAGGTTTAAAGTATAATAGAAGATTCAAGCAAAAAATAAAACTTGTTTAAAAATAAACTATATGCAGAAAAATGAAATCATAGGCTTAAATATAAGTCAAAAAATGTGTTTTAGGGCATTGAATTTTAGGCTTGAAAGTTAATTTTAGGTTTAAAAAATGAATCTTATGCTTAAAAATAAACTAGTCTTAAAATAAATTTTAGGCTTACAAATGAAATGTTGAGATTAAAGGCTTAAAACAAAGTTTAGGCTTAATAATCAATTTTTAGGCTTAACTATAAGTCAAACAATCCTCCTTTAGTACTCTTAAACCATCGTAGTTTTTTTTCAATGGCTTCTGAAGAGAGGAGTAAATTCACCTTGTTTAATCCTTACCTCTACTCCTAACCCCCCCCCCTTCCAAAAAAGTAATCCCCAAACCCCCACTCAATTACGTGTTCCGACCACTCAAAAATAGTTTGTTATTGACCGCTAAATCTGTTCGTTTTAACCTAGTTTCGAAGCCAACGTAGCCAAAAACACACTCGTGCTGCACTTCAAAAAAAATTTTTTTTAGAAATATTTTTAATTTCGAAGAGATAAGGAAGATGGGAGATGGGGCGGAAAGGGGCCTCGACTAATAACAACTCCGAGGCCAAATGAGGGGAGGAACATTGGCCGAAAGGTAAATTTAGTGGAATGCGGGTTAAGACGTACAATTTGGGATTGGCACAGGTAGAGGTTTTGAAATGTATAATTTTTATGGTTTGTAAAATACGACATAGCATACAAGCATGAAAATAAACATAAAATATTGAAATTAAACTTTAGGCTTAAAAAAACTAAATTTTTGACTTGTAAATGGAATTTTAGGCTTAAAAATAAAATATTACGTTTAAAGTAAAAGTTTAAATTTAAAAGCTTAATTTTAAGCCTAAAACTCAACTTTTAGTTTAAAAGTAAAATTTCAAAGTTAAAATGAAACTTTAAGCTTAAAAATACAATTATAGGCTATAAAGTATATTTTCAACTTCAAATCAAACTTTAGGCTTAAAAAGTGAATTTTAGGCTTAGAAAAGCTATTTTTAGTCTAAAATGGGAATTTAGGCTTAAAAATAAAATTTTAAGTCTGAAAAGTAAACGTTAGGCTTAAAAATTAATTTTAGGCTTTAAAATTAATCTTTAGGCTTAAAAATGAAATTTTAAGCTTAAAAATAACTTTTAGGCTTACAAAAACATATTTTTAGCTTAGAACAATACCAATAGTATATTGAAGGAAAAAAGCATAAAAGTATACTCAGCCAAACGATAAAGACCATCTAAAGCAGTAAAAACTTTAGAAAAACCGAAAAAATGTAAAATACGATGAAGCAAGATGTACAAGTCAAAAATCTAAATATTAACCATTAGGAATTACCAAATGTACCAAAAACAAAAGAGTCACAGACACTCAATAAAACCAAAAAAAATTACCAAACATTGTAGTAGCAATCCGCTTCGTAGTCGTAGCCAACGTTGTAGTAGAAGTGCTACTGGTCGTGCTTGGTAGCGGCGTGGTCGTACTGGCCGTGACAGGCCTTCTCCACGACCCTCCCGACTTGAAATCAACAGCATGACTCAAGTCAGTCCACAATGAATCCAGCTCATTCGGACCGGAGTTGACCAGCTGTGCCCTAGCATAAGGTGCATATGTGGCTGGTGTCTTAAGCCGATTAAGATCATCTACATCTTCCATTTCTTCATCATCACCTCTCTCCTCATCATATCCCTTCTCATCATAACCTTCGTCTTCTCTGGCCGCGTCCTCATCCTCTGAATAGTCATCATCGCCGTTGTAGCTGGACTGACTTGCTGGCCGCTGCTCCATTTTTGTCTTACCGGTCGGCTTGACTGTCCTACGTTGCTGTGCACTATCCGATGGTCGATGTCGTGTAGCTGATGTGACAACAACTTGCGTCTCTTTTGAACTGGACGGTCCTGGAGCTACAAAGCAAAATAAAAGAAAAAAAAGCGGATTCTGAAGTGAAATCAACACTAACTAGGCCACGAGGAGTTGAAGTGGTGGAAAGGGAAGAAGTGTTATAGTAAAGTAGAAAGAGTAGAAGAAAGATAGCGTGTGCTGGGCTTGGATAACAGGACGGTAAGAAAAAGAAGCAGAAAAAAAAATAAAAATGAATCATGAATTTACAGTACATTGATTGCTGAGCAAATAAAACCTTTTGCCCATTAGGATAGGGTATAATAGGGTAAGGTAGTACCTAGTAAGGTAAAGTAGAGTTGAGTAGAGTAATGTAGAGTGAGGTACGGTAGTGTAAGGTAGGGTAGGGTAGGGTAGGGTAGGGTAGGGTAAAGTAGAGTCAAGTAAAGAAAGATAGGGCAAGATAAAGAACGGTGAGGTAAGGTAGGGTAGGCCTAGGCAAGTAAATTTTAAACCCGTAAAAACAAAAATTTTTATAAAAACAGCAATTGACTCAAAAAAAGGATGATTTAAAGCCAAGAAAGCGAGGATATAAAGCTAGAAAACAGCGGGTTTGAGCCCGGAAACGGGGGTGGTTTCCAACGGAAATGCCATACTTTGTAAAGGATTTAATTAGATTATTGAAAAAATATGTTTTTCCTTAAACATTGGCCATAGCAATACTAAATAGGCCACAGAAATACTATTAGGAGCCAACATAAAGAACCCGCCATACTATTCTTGCAATTTCGTGTAAAAAATGGCGGGTTCTTTATGTCGTCACCTAATAAATAGGCCAAAGCTAGAAAATTTCGTTTCTATTTTTTTCGGTTTTAAAATTTAAATTTAAAAAATTTGAAAACCTGACCCATTTCCAACTGAAAAACATTCCGTTTACAAGCTCCGCGCCCACCCTCGCCCCGTTGTAAACATAGTGTTGAACACTATGGAGATAACAAAGTCAAAAGACACAAGATGAAAGCGGCCCAAAGAATTTGTTTTCCCCCTTTCTTAAAAGGTCTCGCGCGTTTCGCACCTCTGTTTTGGGATTTGTGGCTTAAAATTAGGGCTGGGCAGGATAAAAGCAAGGCATTCAGGACAGGGCTGGTGTGGCCTATTCAAGAAAGGTTAAGTCAAGGCACTAAAATTAATTCATGTCAAGGCAAAGCGGGCAGGGCAGAGTAAGAGTGTAAGGTAGGGCATGACGGGCAGGGAAAATCTGTTAAGGTAGAGTAGGGCTGGCAGGGCAGGATAAGGTAAAGCAGTAAGTCTAGGCTTCCCTATTTCATTCTGTCCCGTTTTATCTACAGTAAAACCCTCGTCTCTACCCTACCTCTCCCTCCCCCCCCCCTCTCCCCCCCCTACCCATAAATTCAAACCCCCATTGCCCGCACCTGGCTGCTTCCTAGCCTTTTGCAGCCTTCGCAAGTTTCTTGAAAAGACCTGAAGAATTCTCATTTCGGCACTCCCCCCCCTCTTTTAACACATTCAAATTTAATTCCTGAGCGCGTTCGCCGTCTTTGGATATTCATCATATTCGGGCAGGGGGCACCGCTTGTTTCAGTGTCTTTGGGCCGCTCGCAAAGTCAAGTGGACAAAGACGAGAAAGAGGATATTAGTGTAGACAAAAACTTTTACACAACAAACAAATTAGTTTTTGCATAAATTATTATAATAGAATCTTTAGGGCATTGCAGTGGCTCAAGTCTTTTTGAAGTTTTGCAAAAAAGTTGGCTTTTAGGCCAAAAAAAAAGTTTACAACCAATTTCTGACACAGTCTTAGCTCTAGCTTTAGCCCTAGCTCTAGTCATAGCTCTAGCGTTAGTCCTAGCCTTACGCTAGCAATAGCCTTAGCTCTGGTTCTGTCTATAGCTCTAGCCCTAATTCAGCACTCGTCTTAGCTCTAGCTCTAGCCGTAGTCCTAGCTTTAACCTAAGCTATATCCCTACTAACTAGCCTAGCTTCGTCCTAGTAGACAAAGCCAGGCAAGGTTAAGGCCGACTAGCCTCAGCCTTGTCATGGCCTTTATCTGGTTTTGCCCTGGCCTTAGTGCCCTAACCATTTCCTGGCATTGCCCTGATCTTCCTCGAGTTCTAGGCCAAAACACTAGACTTTGCTTGCCCTAGCTTTAACCTCAGCCTTATTAATCTTAGCCCTAGCCTTGCCCCAATTTTATCCCTAGCTCTAAGATAGAATATCTTACCGGTACTCAACCCTCACCTTACTTTATATTACTTTTACCTGGCCTTACCAAAACTAAGTCCTATCCTTGTTTTAGCGTTTACCACATATCCATATCCAGTAAAATGTTTTTTTTTTATCCTATAGCTCAATCTTTGTTCTACAGCCTTAGCCCTAGCCTTGCTCTAATTTCACACTACCTAAGCATTAAAAAATGAACCAAAATGTGACAACGAGTATGTCAAAAGACGTCATGCCACTTTACATTCTAGAGAAATTCTATTTTATTCGAATTTATGCAACAACCAATTTGTTTCCCAACGTTTCGTGTTACAGCCGTTGTGCTAACAAAAATGATTTCAGGCGAAAGTCAAAACCGTTTCACACAGTTCACACATTAAACATTAAAAAATATTGTAGTAGAAACACAAGGCATTTCACAGCAAGATATGTAGAAAATGGCATACATATGTCAAAAGAAGTATAAAAATATAGTAAGAAAGGAGTAAAAGAGTAAAAAAGATAAAAATTAAAATGAAAATTCTGCAAAGTTACATTTTACAGTACCATCACAATCAATAACAATACAAAAGAAAAAGTAAAAGAATAGTAATAAGAGGAAGAACATGAAGAATAGTAAAGAAAGAACATTACCAAAGAATAATACGAAGAAGAAGAAATTACCGTACAATGACAATACAACACAAGGAAGAATGTGCGGATAAAACCATAAATTTTTGAAACTTCTTTGTACGAAAACGTACAAAATTAACTAGAATTAAAGTAATTGTTATATTGTAATAAGTTGTAGTGAAAGTGCATTTGGTGCAATATTAAACTAGTACAAATGTGTAAATTTATACAATGTATGTTACGATAGGATGAGGCAGAATGGGGGTCAGATAGGGTAAATTAGGGTAGGGTAGGATAGGGAAAGGTAAGGTAGTGTCCGGTAAAGTAGGGTGGGTATAAAAAAGGGTAGGTAAAGGTAGTCTAAGGTAGGGTTGAGAGGGATGAGGGGTAGGATAGGTTAGGGCAGGGTAGGGTAGAAAGGGGTAGTGTAAGGAAAGCAATTTTAAAGTGAGTGCGAGTGTGTAAATCAGCTAGTGCAGTTGGTGCTCTTTCGTGTATTAGTGCAGTTTGTGCAACACGTAATAGTTTAATTTTTTTTAATTGTAACACACAATAGCATGTAAGTGGGAAGAAATTTTAGTAATATATGATAATTGTTACTTTAGGAAATATTAAAACGCCAAAAAAATTAAAGTTTTATCATTTTTAAACAACCTTTTTTACGTTTAAAAACGACAAAGCTTTCATTGAAACCCTGTTAATATTTTAAGCCAAACATTATTAGATTTTTAATTATTTAGGTTTAGGTTACGTTTTTGAAAAAAACCTAGTGTTTTAGTGTGCTAGCTAATGTTAGTAGTGCACAAACCAAAACAAGCGCGTGAACTGTTAGTATTTTTGTTAAGTTAGCACCTATGGATTCCTATTATTTATATGTTTTCATTTTTAAAAATGTTAGTTTTCTAAAACATTAGCAACCTATTATTTTCTTTCAAAAACATTTCTTTTGCCATCTAAAACAACATAAGTAATTTTATATGAATTTACAGCTGCATATCAAAAACTGTGATGCATCTTCATTTCGAATTTCTATTCTACATACTATATTTTAAAATCCCACACCTAAACTATTATCAAATTTCAAAAAAAATGATTTTATTTAGATTAAACCTTGTCCTAAACCAACTTGATATACCAGCTCTATATCAAATTCTATATGTCACCAACCTTTTTGCCCTCATAATATTAATATGTCAAATTTTTAAAGGCAAACCAAAAAGTTGTGATTGTTCAGATAATTCTGTGCCCCATATGCCCAAAAATTTGCTTTGAGAGGAGAATGACAGGGGACACAGAATCACTTGAACAATCTCTGTTAGAACACAAAAAACAAAAAAAAGTTAGTATAGGCTTGTGGGTAAAACACAAATTTAACAGTTAATATCTATCCACAATATGTTATACAACCACAATCACTCTCATATCTACAAAATTAGTTCTTCAATTGTAAAACTTACTGGTTCGACTGGTCGACTTGTTCTTGCTTTTGAAGGCTTTTGGCACGATTGGCGTGAAAAAACCTGAAAATAGAGGAAAATTAGGGGTTTTGTAAAATACGGATAGTAAATTGGTGTTAGCCTTATAAGTATTAGTTACAGTAAGCTCTTATTATAAGAAAACCTTCCTAAGTTTAAGTACTATAGTATAGTACTACAGATTTTAGATACTATAATTTAGTACTAGACAACTGAAACATTACAGTATATTACTGTATGTATTATGTACTATAATTTTGTGCTGAAAGCTTAAGTACTATCTCATGGTACAGGATAGTACTAAAAGCTTAAGTACTATCTTATAGTACTGTATATTTTTAGTACTATAATATAGTAGAATTCTAGGTTTGGTATGACAAGAGCTTCCTTTATAAAACTCTTTTAACCGTGGTTTTCATAAGCTTTTGCCATTTTTTAATTTTTGAAATTTTATAATTTTTGATGACTTTTCAACTTTTTGACGATATGCCACTTTAAACCCTTATAAATATCACTAGTTTCGATTCTAAAAAAATTTTCATTATAGTAATCGTATTTTACACCCTTACTCTCATTTTTCTCCCCCGAACTCGGCGCTACAGTAGTGCCCCTCTCCAGGATCTGAACGTCCTTCTCAGGCTTATTCGCGTTCCGAAGACCGTGCGTCAACCTCCTCGTAGTTGGAGTAGTGGGAAATTTGAAATTTGGTGCAAATTTTGGTGCTGGCACATCAAAAGCATGCTCTTTACATCTTGGTGAACTCCATTCCATCAAGCATATGATTGGCATTTGGCTAGCGTTTAAGCCGTCCTCGTCAGCCAACATTGTTGAACTCGAATCTAGTGGTACTGATCGTTTTTTGTGGAGTTTTAAGAGTTTTTCTTGCCGATTTATTAAAATACGATCATCATGTCTTCGTGCTTTAAAAACTGTTTGATCTTTAAGCCCCAAACTTATAGATTTTTGAAAAAAATCAGTAGAAATTGCTTGTTTAGGTTGTTGTTTGTGCCATTTTGAATGTAGCTCCTTCCTATGATGAACAATCGACCTCAAACCTTTGTCATCATTTTCTAGCTTCAATGAGCTCAATTTCGTCTCAGTGACTGATATGTGATAGTATAACAATAAAATAGTTAACAACTTTGATTTCCTCCAAAACGGCCTCAAAATGCTCAACAACAGCCTCATTATGTTCCAATCCATCATCAATTCTCACTCTTCTCAACTTCACATGATTAAATTTTCGATTCTGTTCAACATTGTAGTACTTACTATAATATTTTTTATATATTTAAAGCTTGAAAAATTGTTTCAACTCTAATATAATCGCGAAATCGATTAATATTCCACGTAAAAGCCCTGTTCCCACTTCCGATTGATTCGAAGGGCAAACGAAAGAGAACTCGAAGCGTGGTGAGATGGCCGAGCGGTCTAAGGCGCTGGTTTAAGGCACCAGTCTCTTCGGAGGCGTGGGTTCGAATCCCACTCTCATCAGATCACTTTTTGCCGGTTTTTAGGCGTTTTTTGGGTAAAATACGTAAATAAACGTATTATTAAAAAATTTTTAACCTAACGTAGAGCCACAATTCCTCAAAAAATTAATTTTTATCTACTTTTTCTACATAAATTTTAAAAAATTTTGTTTTTTAAAAAAAATTTTTTTTTAAATCCCTACAACAATATATATTGTACTCTCCTCTACATGTCCCCTATAACAAAACTAATCAAAACGCCCCTCAAGTCCAATATAAATTGAACCCGCAACAAAAAACCAAACCAAAGAAGAATTAATGAATTAAGAAGCAGTAAATCTCAATGCCCCCTCCGGCTAATATCCCACAAATTGTCAAGTTGTGACGTTCTACTCGCTCATTTTCACGCCTCGGAAACAATCGTCTTTTAACGCCCATTTCTCGCCCGTTTTCCCCGACCAATTCAATGCAACATAGGCGAAACAAAACCGACTGCAAACCGAAGGTATTGTTGGGTGGAAGTCGGGCGAGAAAAAGTGGCATGGAATTGGTCGGCGAAAAACGTTAATACAAGAAGTTGGTTGGGAATGGAAGCGGATGCTTGAATTTTTAGGTAGTTGAACAAAAATAGAATAAGAAGCAAGTAAGGAGTTCAGCCACTTGAGCTCTACAGTAATCTTTGTTGCTCTACCCTACTCTACTTTATCCTACTGTACCGTACCGTACCCTACCGTACCGTACCGTTACCTTACCTTTTTTTGACCCATCCCTGATCTGCCCCGTGATGCCATGCCCTTGAAAGGCCCTGCCAAGCCCACCAACAAAACTCTGTTGTAACCAAAAACATACAGTATCCCTACCCTCGCCTTAGCCTAACAAGACCGTAACCTACATAAGTATATACCTGTGCCTGACCGGCTTTCCTTATCCACCCTAAAGTTATGCTGACCAATCGTCAGACATTACCTTAGCCTTTGTTACTTTTAAATTAGCTCTAATCCCAGACACAGTCTAAGCCTACGGTCCCTTAAATTAAACCTATATAACGCTACGATAACACTCATTGGAATAGTCCGGCATAGCTCTAAACTAGGGTCCTTTTTGAGCCAAAAAAGATATAAAACAATATTTTTGGATAAGAAAACAAGTAAAATATTCACGTTTTGGCCTGACCCGAAAGTTGTACTTTAACTAAATTTGTGTTTTTGTGTAGTAAACACTGCCTGCGCGTGGCAATAACAACTATAATGTATATCTAAATTGGGCAACGAGGAGACATAATAGCAATTACTGAAATTTGCAAATCCTTCTTGAATGTTTTACAGTCACCTTTACACGAGTATGATAGACAAATATGGCAAAACAGTTGCTTTAAAACGCATAAAACGGCAAGATACTAGCCTAGCCTGCCCTATATTACCATGCCCTACTTTACCCAAATATTACCCTACCATACCTTACCCTACCCAACTCATTCTTTAAAAAACAAAAAAATTTTAAAAAATTCAAAATTTGAAGTGTCAATTAAAAAGTGTAGTCTGATTCAATAATAAACACTACACCTTAGTACTTTACCTAAAGGATAATTAAATCCCCTACAAATATAAAAAAATTGAATAATGTTCTTTAACAAATTTCAGTTAACTCATTAACCTACACAGACATATAATAGCACCAAGGCGATTAAAATTTCATTTTTGAGCGTTTATTCTTACGATACCCAACCCTACCCTACCCTACCTTACTACTCTTGCCTTTACCCAAGCCATACCGTATAATACCCTAACCTACCCTACCCTACCCTACACTACTCTACCTTAACATCCCTTACCCTACCCTTACTTTACTTTACCGTGCCCTATCGAAAAAATTTAAAAGCCTTAGTTGCCCTTACTACACCATAGCTCTACCACAGTTACACCCTACCGTACTCGGCCTTTCTATAGTCAGCCTTATAATAGCTCAAATTCAAGTTTATTTTACCCTACTGTACCCTACTCTAGCCTACTCAGACCTAGCCAAAGCCTGTTTTTTACTCTACCTTACCCTATCCTGCACTAAAACCAGGCTTGAAATTTCCATGCGCTGACCTTTTTCCTTTATCATGCTCTACCAAAAGAATTTCAAAGACTTCCTCCCTACCTGACCCACCTTTTGCCACCTTCTTACCCCTCCCTTGCACTAAAACGAAAATTGAAATTAACATGCCCTACTCTCAGTCCAATTGTGACCAACCCTCAAAGCTCTTTTAACTCAAGAAATAAAGTTTTGAAGCCAAGATCCTCAAAAGCAGACAAAATTTGGGGAAAGATGACCGCTGACCACAGAATTTCCGCCAAAACAAAAAACTTTGGAATTCGTAAGCGAAGACGTCGCGTCGTCAACAAACATCTGATATCAACAAAACGCTCCAGACGTCGTGCTGAATTTGCATTTTGGTTATTGAATAACATAATAACGAAGATTTCGTTGGCTAGGTTTGTTTTGACGGCGCATTAAAGTTTTGGCGGGATTTTTGGGTAAATTTTTCTTTTCAAAATCTTTTAATATCTACCCCCGAATTCATAAATACAGTAGCATACAAATACTGAGTCACGAACAGTAGTCTGAGATCAAAATAGTATCCAAAATAAAAAAAAAATTAGAAAACCACCCCCAACCTAAAAATTCTTTAATCTGCGCCCAGTTAAAAAAAAGTTTGAACAACCCCCAGCTTTAAAAATGCGCCCCCGACACAAAAATTCCTTATTCTACCCCTAGCTGCAAAAAGTAGCCTTTACCACCCCCAATTTCAAAAATCTGCCTCCAACACAAAAATTCATTATTCCATCCCTAGCTACAAAAATAAACGCTGGAACACCCCCTAATTTCGAAAATCCACACCCAAAACAAAAAATGCCCGACGTCCCAGAAAATTGTTTTCAACCTACCCCCCCCCCTTAAAAATTTGTCCCTTACCTCTTCTTCAAAATTTATCCCCCCTCCCCTTTAAAAATTTTTTTACCCCCCGCTCTCAAAAATGGTTGTTTCCCATCCTATTTGCTGTAAACATAAGACCTATGACAATATATATGCAACATGTGTACTTGAAAGCATAAGAAGTGAAGAAATGACCCTGACCACTACTGTTTTTTGCCTCGTTTCTTTCGCACAACAAAAGGGGAGAAACTTGTCGGAGCTCACACGGAAACAAAATTCTGAATCCCAACTTAATAAACTCTCGAGTATTAGGGAGGCGGGCGGGCGGAGTAATTTACAATTAGATTATTTCAGGTCAAATTTGTAAAGGAAATTTCGCGTTTTTGGGTCAAAGTTTTTGGGTTTTGGAGTTTTAATTTTACCTGCCCTAGCCTAATCTAATATCCTGCCTTGCTCTATTTCTAGCTATTTCCTTGGATTGGCATTGGTTTGGCTTGACTTGCCTTGGCTTGGCTCGCATTTCCTTGTCTTGTCCTGCCGTGCCTTGCCTTGGCTTGCCTTCATTGCCTTGCCTTGGCTTGGCTCGCATTTCCTTGCCTTGCTTTGCCTTGCCCTGCCCTTCTCTGCCTTGCCTTACCCTTCTCTGCAATGCCCTACCCGACCTTACGCAACCCTGTCCTCCTCACCCTGCCCTGCCTTGCCCTTTTCTGGCATAACCTGCTTTGCTTCCCCTGCCCTTCTCTGCCATGTTTTATCCCACCCTGTGCTGTCCTGCTCTATCCTATCTTACCCATCATGTTCTCCCTTGCCCTTATCCTAACCTATTAGGTGCCGACATAAAGAATCCGCCATATTTTTCCTGTAATTTCGTGTAAAAAATGGCGGGTTGTTTATGTCGGCACCTAACACTACCCTACTCTGCTCAACCCAAACTTTTTCTCATACCTTTTACATTTCTACCCTATTCAACCCATTTTTTCAAAAATGTTTTTTTACATTTCTACCCTACCTTCCACTATGTAAACGTACTTTATTGAATGCAAAAACATAGATATATAGTGTTATAAACGTCTACGGGCTTGAGAAAACACAATTTCCGAGTTGCGACTCGAAAATAGACATAAAAACAGAATTTTTTAGCGGTTTTTTTGATACGAACTAAGCGAAGCGGGTTCATTAGGCTAGTTTCAAGGTACTCGAATAAGTGGAAACGTGTGTTCATGGCATCAAGTTTTCAATTTTTATATTACAAATGGACGAAACTTTAGGATTTAGTAATTGAAATCGGTAAAAGTTTAAATAGGAAAAGATAGAGTAAGATAAGACAGAGTAAAGTAGGGTAGCGTAAAGTAGCGTCAGATACAGTAGTGTAAGATAAAGTACCCTTACATAGTAAAACTATACTTTAAACACCAAAAAAAACTGTCTCTAACC